AATTTGGATGCGAGTAACGTGGGGAGTGGGTTTTCTTTCAAGAACTTAGATATGCATCAAGTAGACCTGCTTTGTGAATATATACATCTAAATAGGTTAAGACCGAGCAAGAAAATATAAATTTTTTTTTTTAATTCCACTCAATTCATGCTAGCCACTTTTTGGTTAGTAAGGCATATTTATTCGTTGATTGTAAAACATTGTAATTAACTTGAGAGGCTAAAAAACCTATCATTTTTTCCCAATAAAAGAGAAAAATAATAAATTATTGGTGCAAGGCAATTGTAAGTTATTGGAGTCATTTAATCCAACTAACACTAAAGCATCTTCTTAAATCTTAGTGTGATGTTAACTTCATGCTTGACCCTTTATAAATATAATGGGTGTATGAGTTTTGTTCAGTGAAAGATGGCAAGGGAAATAAAGCAATCGCAAGTTGTAAAGCTGTTAAAATGCGTATTAATCCTAAAAATTAAATATCTTACATAATTATACTCCAATGTGAGATTGAATGAATTTTTAATAGTATGATGAGAACAGTTATAATAAAACGCTGTTTTTTAATTAATATGAAACAATTACCATATATTATACAATTTAATTTGTAGAAAACCATAATATTTATTTTTGTCTGGTTCATTGGCAAAAAAATATCTGTCTGGTTCGAGCACTAAATAAATAAATAATGACACGCCCGTGTGTGTGTGTGTGTGTGTGTGTGTGTGACTTTCAATTTGTGGTTTGTCAAATAAAAAAGAAGTGGCAAGTGAGGAAGGCAATGATAAGACGGGGCATTAGAGGTAAATTCAAAAGCTCACTCAATGGGATTTTGAAATATCTATATGAGATAATAATGTGAAGTTGTGCATCTCTTCTTATCTGCTTCCTCGCCGCTACTATAATTAACATGATCTCTTCTCCTTTAATTATCGTCACCACCTTCTTCTTAACTAATTCCTATTCTTATCCTCATTCCATTCTCGTCTTAATACCCCATCTTCCTTTTCTACTTAATTATGGTTGAGGGAGTATCCATAGGAGTAATTTAGAGAAAATTGATAAATATGATAAATGGGTCTTATATTTAGAATCAAAACTAACTCAACAATTGGGTTTTATATTAAGGACCAGAGGAGTAAATATAATTAACTATATATGCATAAAATGAGATCTCGGTGGTAGGCTCTCTAATCATGAATTGGAGAATGGTTTAAGGATGCTGTGAGGGGACGTCAAGAAGCAATTGATGAGTGAGAGTCATTTACACAAGCAAAAATTTAAACACTCACATCCCTCCACTTATATTTGCCACGTCCCTATCCATTCCTTTTAAATCGTGGGCTGTATTCGATTAATTTTGCTTGTTCTTTTAAATTATATATTATTTATTTAAATCGATATTTTATTTTTGTTTTATACCATGTTTCTTTCGAGATGAGTGAATATTAAATTTTAATGAAAAATAAAATTTAGATTATTCCCTTAATTAGTCCTAAACATTATGTTAAAAAAAAAAAATAAACGCGAGCTCATGTATTGCATGAATGAATATAATATATTATATTATATCACGTCTTTAATATAAGAGCTAGTTTGACATTTAATTTGATCTTAAATATATGATACTAGTTCACTTTTTTTTATATTTATCTTTTTTTTAGGGTAGATACACATGTTAAAAGTTGTATCAAATGGTAATTTTAACTAATACAGTAATACATATGATTAGTAAGGGTGTTTTAGAGAAGACAACATCTATTTATTACAAATAACTAACCCAACTAATTTTTATAATTTAGTTAAATTAATTAATTAACTTTTATATTTTTAAGGACCAGAAGGTAGTATATTCATATACACAATACACACTTGTACAATGATATGCTTGATACATTTCACTGCTTGCAATATAAACTAGATACTGACTATCCTAACGCGACACCATCTAATTAAAATAAATTTATTCTTTAACAAAAGAGGAAGTTGATGATGTTTTATAATCCAACGCTTTATGATTAAACATTGGGTCTTTCAAAGCATTTTGACCAGCACCCTACGTACAGATGGTTGAGGGTGGGCAAATATCTCCTCGATCTGTTTCACATTCTTTTGCCTCTTCTTTTATTTTCTTTGTTTTTTTCCCCCAGTAATTTCCCTCCATATTTGTTTTGTTTATGCTTAATTGCTCTCGACCCAGGTAAGATTTTATCAGGGCAAAAAACAAAAAAAACAAAAACAAAACAAAACAAAAGAAAACCTAAGTAAGGCTTTACACTATACTTCTTACCCGCTTCACCCTTATCCCTTTTTTCCAAAATAAATTCTTTCTAAATATAATTTTTTGTGTATGCTACAAAAACTTTTGATACGCTAGCTGTTTGGATAAGATAGCTTTTTGTGATGTACTACCTCCGATCCTTAATATAAGACCTTGTTTGATTTTTATTTTGATCCTAAATATAAAACTCCAATATACTTTTTCTCTCATATTTATCTATTTTTTTCAAGATAATCTTTTAATAATGGTAGTTCTAAATAACAAACTTGATTAGCAAAGATATTTTAAAAAAAACAACACCTATTTATTACAAATAACTAACTTAACTAAATTCTTTAATCTCTCCAAATTAATCAACTGGGTCTTATAATTAAAATCAGAGGTAGTATTATTCTGCGCATGTAGGTCATTCTACAAATCGATAATCATAGTGTCTGCATTTTTACTGGATAAAAGTTTCCTCTTTGAAATATTAAAGTTATTATATATTCATTTTATTATTACAATGTTATTAAGTGATGGTATACTTGTCTTGCATGTCGTCATACAAAACGATGTCTAATTTCCATGGACATTTAAGCAATGAAATATAATTATTTTTGATATAGCGCTTAATTAGTATACTTTTCATGCAAATTGGAAATGGAAAAGTATTTTAATAACTCAAAGGTCTTGATTCTGCCGCTATGACCATTGGAGATTATACTATCTCTAATCCTTAATATAAAAGCTAGTTTGACTTTTAATTTGATTCTAAATATATGACCCCAATCTATTTTGTCTCTTCTATTTATTTATTTTTTCAATGTAGTTTTTGTAATAGTTGCACATATTAAATATTTTATCAAATAGTAGTTCTAATTAATATACTGGATTAACAAAGATATTTTAGGAAAGACAACATCTATTTATTACAAATAACTAACTTAATTAATTTTTTTAATCTATCCAAATTAATTAAATAGTTCTTATATTAAAGACCAGAGGTAATACTTAATAATAAACGCTTGCGATAAAAACGAAAAGGTTTGACCAAAAAAAAAAAGAGGATAAATAGCAAAAGGGATGATAGAAACGAAAAGGGAAGCTGATATAATATTCTACCGATCCTTGATATACGACCTAATTAAAGAGTTAATGTTGATCTTAAATATAAGACATATTTCATATAATTATCAACTTTTTTTCAAAATAACCCTATTGATATTTTCTTAATAATAATCAAGTCGGAGGGAAAGGAAGGGAATTAAAAAGATGCTTATGGTGTTTTAAGAAAAAAATATCATATTAACTAATTCAACTAGCATTCATAATCTAATTAAATTAGTTAATCAGATCTTATATTAAGAACCGAATGAGTTAGTTTAGTACGTTCATGCTTCCATTATATGGTGCTCATGTGGTGGAGACACACCACCTCAATCAGCATCACCGCATGGGATTCAAAATGCTCTTCATCATTCTTGCATCGAAACTTCATCCGTCTCTGGGTGGACGAAGCAGTGATCATAACGTTTCAATAATCCCCCCCCCCCAAAAAAAAAAAAACTCTTTAATCAGCTGAATTTTAATACGCTCATTTCGATCGGCTGTGCTTGTCATGTTCTAAATGATCAGAAGTCAGAAACAAGTGAGTTGGATGCTAATTAAATTCAGCGAATTCTTGTGCTAAAGACCTAGCTTTCCCCTCTCTCTATAAATACATATGGTGTTTGTGTGTGTGATACATTGGAATTGGATGCGTCATCCACACTATGTCAGAAATTTCTTTGCCTTAATTACTGGTCAATGTGAACTCATGGCGGAGCATATAGAAACAGTTCATTTAAGAAAGAAAAGGGGATCGAGTCACTTAAAACAGTAAAATATGTTAGCTTGCAGAGATTAGCTTCCCAAGTTTGACCATCGTAATTCTTATTCGGTTGCACTCCGTCAATTTCTTCCCTCGGAGCCCTTACAGAAAAAGAATGAGAATGCAGGCCTTAATTGTTTCAGATATTTCTGAGATATTTGTTCTTTCTGGATCTCCCTTGGTCCCATCCCCATGTATCTTTATCAGTTTATCCCCCAAAAAGTAATAAATAAAGTTCATATGGTTTAATGATAATTAACACAGTAGAACATCAAGTCACGTACAGGCCATGGAACAGGCACTAGGACATGTGTTTTACATGGATTGCCCCACCCTCAGGAGATGATAGTTCCAAATTTCGCCCTATATAACTCCCGCTCTTCTACCTCAAAATCAAACCATCCCCTCACTTGCGCCTCTATTCACTTAGTTTCTCCCTCAGACTGCATTTTCCAGCCATGTTGCCCGGAAGTAGAACCCTTCCAAGCAGAATCCATCATGGAGTTGTAAGAGCATGCATATACACACACACACACACATATAAAATTAGGCATTCTCTTCTCTTTTCTTTTCGATAATTGAGGTTTGATTGTTTAATTTGTAACAGATAGCAGAGAGGGATGATTTTAGACGCTACTTGCATGTGGAAGTGAAACCCAAAATCCAAACTGAGGCACACGCAGTGGATATCCAGTCGAACTTTTCCACGTGCTTCGATGATGATGGCCGCTTGAAGAGAACAGGTTATAACATTCATCATTTTAATCGACATAACTTCATTTGATAACATAATCCAATTCATCATAGGTCAAAAGTACAACCATTACATCATCTGTCTGCAATATTCTCTTCTCTCCTTGGGCTGCTCAGCTTAGCTCTGTTCCTAAAATTAGTAAAAGATGATACTTGAACCAATATACGCAAGTGCAGGGACCTTTTGGACAGCAACGGCCCACATCATCACCGCAGTGATTGGATCGGGAGTGCTATCACTGGCATGGGCCGTGGCCCAACTTGGCTGGGTTGCTGGGCCAACTGTGATGCTTCTATTTGCCTTGGTCAACCTCTATACGTCCAACCTGCTAGCAATGTGCTATAGAACAGGTGATCCTGTCACTGGAAAGAGAAATTACACCTACATGGACGCTGTGAAGTCCACTCTAGGTACGAAGATTTGCCTCCGAACATTCTTACCAACAAAATCTCACTTCTGGACTGCATGTGAAGAAAAATGATTTGCTTGCAGGAGGCAAAAAGGTGAAATTATGCGGCTTGATCCAGTACGTGAATCTGTTTGGGATTTCGATCGGGTACACAATTGCAGCCTCAGTCAGTATGATGTAAGTTGAAGAACAATCTAAACATGTCAAAGAATGAATTGCATTAAAACTTACTTGACTTGATTAACTATGTCAGGGCCATTAAAAGATCAAACTGTTATCACAAGAGTCATGGAAACGATCCATGTCACCTGTCAAGCAATGTGTTTATGATAACATTTGGCGTGGCAGAGATAATACTTTCCCAAATCCCAGATTTCGATCAAGTGTGGTGGCTCTCCATAGTAGCAGCGATCATGTCCTTCACTTATTCTGCAGTTGGTCTGGGTCTTGGAATAGGCAAAGTTGTAGGTACAATCAAACTCATCCTTGGGTGAAAAATGTTGTTGCACACAACTCATGGGGAAAAAAAGCGGTTTCATATCTGAGAGAGCTTGCCATGATTTATCCTCGTTGTTGCAGAAAATAAAATCTTTAAGGGAAGCCTGATGGGAATCAGCATCGGGACAGTGACACAAGGTGGGACTGTGACAGACACACAGAAAATGTGGAGGAGTTTACAAGCCCTTGGGGCAATGGCTTTTGCTTACTCTTTCTCCATCATCCTCATTGAAATTCAGGTACTTCCTTCTCATGTATTCAAGACACGGCGCATTCATTTTTGCACTCAAAAGAAATATTTCTCCTTGATGCAGGACACTCTGAGATCTCCACCGGCAGAATATAAAACCATGAGAAAGTCCACCTTCTTGAGCATCACAGTTACCACAGTGTTCTATTTGCTTTGTGGGTGTATGGGATACGCAGCCTTTGGAGATAACGCCCCTGGCAACCTCTTGACTGGTTTTGGATTCTACAATCCTTACTGGTTACTAGACATCGCCAATCTCGCTATTATTGTCCACCTGGTTGGAGCATATCAGGTTGTTATTTACTCTTCTGGCCTAAATGTAAGACTCATTTTGTAGTGTAATTTACACTACAAAATGGGTCTTACATTTAGGAATAGAAGGAAGTACTACTTTTAACTAACTCTATTACACTACAAAATGGGTATTATATTTAAGACTAGAAGGAAATACTACTTTTAACTATATTACTATTTTTTTCCAAAAAAAAAAAAAAGATGCCCAAGTATTGATTCGAATGTGCGAGCAGGTGTTCAGCCAGCCTCTGTTTGCATTTGTGGAGAAATGGAGTGCACACAAGTGGGCAAAGAGTAATTTTGTGACAGCAGAGTATGAAATTCCGATTCCCTTGTATGGGGTATACCAGCTGAACTTATTCCGCCTAGTGTGGAGAACCATATTCGTGTTGTTGACAACCTTAATAGCAATGCTGATGCCATTCTTCAACGATGTGGTTGGAATTCTAGGAGCTTTTGGGTTCTGGCCATTGACAGTGTATTTCCCCATAGACATGTACATTTGCCAGAAGAAAATACAGAGATGGACTAGCCGATGGCTTGGACTTCAGATCCTCAGCGTCACTTGCCTCTTCGTTTCTATAGCAGCAGCCGTTGGATCCATTGCGGGGGTGGTTTTGGACCTCAAAACTTACAAGCCCTTCAAAACTAGCTACTAAGACCAGCAACATATGGGACTTAAAATAACTCCATAAGCTGCCAGATCATTATCGCAAAAGTAAGCACATATAACCTGTTGGGGTGAGAGCATTACGTTTTGTTGTTTTTTGTTTTTGTTTTTTGGGGGCGGGGGGCCTAAGCGGATGCCGCAAATAATATGTACGCCTTGCAAAATTTCATTTTTGGTGTTGTGTAATATAATATCGGTGCCAACCTGCTCGGATTATATTGGCTGAGGTGATACAAAATAGTGGGGGGAAACTTGGTTTTATCAGTTGCCGAGGAAATTTTCTATCTGACCATTGATGAATCACAAGCAATGACAGGTGAAAACCCCTCAGACGTTATCTGAAACTTATAGAAAGTGGCGTTTGCATTGAACGAGTAGCTGTAAACTTCTTTTAAGACTGGAGGAGTATATAATATCCTTGCTTGTCACAAAGGGGGATGAAGCAACGTAACACGCGTCCAATCCTTTTCTAGTTACCCTAGAAAGCTCCACAGCACAGGATGCCGGACTTCTGTCTGAGACGCTGTGCACATCAGAAAAGTCTAACGAAAACAAGCGTTCACATCGTGTTTCCGATCACCTGACAGACATGAAGATCTCTTTTTCCTTTTTGGTGATGGAAAGACATGAAGTTTAAAGACACAAATGACCAAGAAGCAGACCCTGAGGAGGAAAAAGCAAGAAGATATTTACGAGTCCGATTTGGCAGGTCAATTTAGCAGTAACAAGATAGATCAGTAGACCACAAAATTTCCCCAACTCTCGCCTATCATAACGTTGCAGCTGTTGTCAAATGTCAACTTAATTGTACCAACCCTCACTAGAGTCCAAATGCACCTCGTTGCTCATTTTCCACCCCTACCTACCCATTTGCCCAGACATGTCCCAAATAATTGTCGATCTTACTAAAATGACTATGAATAAATTAACCTCTCAAGTAGAGTATACAAGGAGATATGTTTAGGTCGGCAAATGATACATCGCGAAATTTAATTCAAAGGAAACACAAGCTATGGCCAAAATAAAAAGTCAACAAACCAACAAAGAGGGAACTATCTCTGAGCTAGCTAGCTCCTTCCTGCTTTCTGACAACGAGGAAGAAAAAGCAAATATAACGTTACTATTCTCAACTTCGCGCGGCTCGATCAAGAAGGCATGATCCGGGTTTACAACGGTACTACTTGAGTAATGACTATGGGACTACGAACCACGTGCTTCCCATCGGTCCATGAAACCGACCCGAAAGCCGCTCCAGACGGACCCACCACCACATTACGGGTATCTGCCGTCACCGTCAGGACAAACCTACGCTTTCTGACACCGTCCGAGAACACAAGCTCCGAAGGCTTTACACTCACAATCACCCCTTTGGGCTGCGACTCCACTTTAACTCTGTAAACCGAATTCACCGCCCCCACGTTCGTCACGGTTCGAATAAACGTCTTTCTTGACACCCCTTTGGACGCGCCCTGAAACAGAGCAACGAATGACGGGTAATTCAAATTCTCCGGCACTGCCTTCCTACCCGGACACTTCACCGGTATCCTTGTGATCACCTGAATTTCGTTCTCCACATACCCAATTGAGCACATATAGTTAACGTAATCATGTGCAGAAATATCATATACTAACCCAGGATCCATTGCAAGACCCAAATTAAGATTCCCGGAACCAAAATCATACGGCGTGGAAGCATTCCCCGAGGCCTCATCAATCATGGGTTGATTGCGATTATCAGATATGGTTGCAGTTGTCATCAGCGCTGATCGTATCGCAGCTGGACTCCAATCTGGATGAGCTGATTTAAGCAAAGCCCCAGCTCCGCTTACATGTGGGCAAGCCATGGAAGTGCCCGATAGGATGTTAAACTCTGTTCTTCTTGAATCGGCGTCTAAACCAGAAGGACCCACTGCGTTGGTCCAAGCCGCGAGAATATTCACTCCTGGTGCGATCAAATCCGGTTTGAGTATCTGTGGGTTTAACCCACTCGGTCCTCTGGCTGAAAACGAAGCCACAACAGGTGCAGGCTTGATTCCTAGCATAGTTCCCTTGAAATCGATGGTGGCCGTGGGATTAGCAGAGGATTTAATATATGATTTTATGGCCTCTCCTTCATCAGCACCAAGTGAACATGCAGGAAGAACGTGAGGATCCCCAACTACGCCTTCCCCATTAGAAATACCATTCGTTAGAATCATTCCAATCCCACCAGCTTTCTGCACCACAAGTCCTTTAACGACTCTAGGACTGCTTCCTCTATCGCAAACCACTATCTTTCCCTTTACCATTTTGGGGTCGAGCGAGTTTTCCATACACAGTGAATCAACAAGAAGCCCTGCCTTCCCTGGGTAAACAAGTTCAAACATTTTGCCATTTAATGGCTTTCCGGAGTACAATGACACACCGGACAATTTCCGACCATTGCCGAGAATCACCTGCGCTGGAAAATCCCGATCAATAGTTCCCGCTCCAACGGTGGTCAACCAGGGAGCTGAGTTCGTCACTGACATTCCACTAGGCCCGTCGTTCCCCGCCGAAGTGGAAACCAAGACACCTCTGGCAACCGCACCGTATGACCCAATTGCGATGGGATCGAGATAGAAAGGGGAAACGACGCCGTCACCACCGCCAATCGAGAGGGAAATCACATCGACGCCGTCTGCTACAGCGACATCGAATGCGGCCAAAATATCAGAATCGAAGCAGCCTAAATTCTTCCAGCACACCTTGTACACCGCTAGTCGCGCTTTCGGTGCCACGCCCTTTGCAATTCCAGAAGCATAACCAGACATGCTTGCCCTAAAAGCATACCGACCAGCCGCCGTAGAAGCCGTGTGCGTTCCATGACCGTCGGCGTCCCTCGGCGATCGGAATTCAACGGTTTCGTTGATTGGGTTCACCGGACCCACAGAGCCCGAACCTGCTTCGCCACCTTTGGAGAAATATCTCGCGCCGATTAATTTCTTGTTACAGTTTCTTGCAGTGAACTTGACTCCAGCCTCGCAAACTCCTTTCCAGCGTCGCGGAACCGGACCCAAATTCAAATCAGAGAAGCTCCGGTGCTCCGGCCAGATTCCCGTGTCGAAGATACCGATGATGACGTCTGAACCGTAGTCGGACTCTGACCACAGACCGCGCTGGGTTCGAAGGCCGAGAAATTGCGGGGAGCGAGTGGTTTGAAGCAAGCGGCGACGATCCTCAAAGACGGAAAGCACGGAAGAGTGGTTGCTGATTGAAGAAGCCCGGTCCTGTGTAAGATGCGCAGAAAAACCATGGAAGACATTCTCGTAAACATGAAGAATGCTGGTTGGTTCGGCGAACTCGGAGGAATACCAGTGGTAGTGAGTAGGAAAAACGGAGGGTTTGCTTTCAGAATTGATTCGAAAGATGAAAGTTTTGGAATTGGAAGGCTGAGCAGCGGAAAGAAGTAAACCCTGGGTGAAAAGGGGGAAAAAGAGCAGAAGAAAAGGAGCCATTTTTGAAGCAAGTACTCGAAACTGGGGAGAGCACTTGCAGAGTGGTATAAGTGCAGTGATATCGCCGCTGAGAGTGTGTGAACACCTGGACGAGGAGTTTGGATGGCTCATTAATTATGATATCGTGATTTATTAGTATTGACAAGAAAAATTATACCTTGAAGAAATAAACAGAAATTTTATCTTTAATACTCCTACTTCCGACTCTAATTATAAGAGCTAGTTGACTAATTTAAAAAAATTAAGTTAGTTATTTGTAATAAATATGTGTTGTTTTTTATAAAATATCCTTACTAATTAAGTGTGTTGGTTAAGACTATAATTATTAAAAGGACTATCTTGAAAATCAAATAGAATATTATATTAAGGATCAGAAGTAATATTAAATTACTCATAATATATTAGTTAATATCCCTATTAATTAAAGGAGCTCAGTTGAGGAAATCTGCGGACGAGAGCGGACCTTAGGAAGGAAATGTTTGTTTTGTGTTTGACTGTTTGTTGCAACGTAGCTTTGGATTTACGGAGGGGAATTAACCTTTTTGGGCCTCATCTAATAGTAGAGCCTGCAACAATTAAATGTCTTAATCTCAATTATCATGCATGTATTAAAGGCAACAGCCATGCCAATAAATAAACCGTGAAATATCAGTAACCACTTGTCTTACTTTAAGAGTGTAATTGATGATTGATTTTTTAAAATTAAATGTGATTGTCCGATTGATAGTAGAAAAAAATCTGCAAAGTCGTGTTAATTGTGGGTGTCAACAATGCAGCCCATTAACAACATGCAATACTTGGGACCCACGCTGATTTATTTCAAAAAGTCTAGTTAATATTTTGTGCCACTAAAAATGAAAAAGATAATGGTGTCTGCAAAATGTAAATGGAGAGAAAAATTAAGGAAATATGTTGATTAATAGAAAATTTGTGGGAATGAGTACTATAAAAGTGGAGAGGGCACAATGAAAGAGAGAAAAACATAAGGTGAATAGTAGGGGAAAGGGGTGGGGAATGGGATTAGCATTTAAATTGTCGGTATTGAGGAGTGATGGATGAATAAGCAGAAAAGATAAGAGAGGAGGGAGGTGGGGCGCGCGGAGTAGCGGGTCGCTTTCACAAATCTCAAAGGACGCCTCACATCAACCTAGAGTGTGGCGACCAAGTTTTGCTTTCACAGTTCACATTTTTTGTTCTCATTTTGAATCTAATCACACCCCTCTCATCCAACGGGAACGCCTCCGCTCCTCTACTCCTCCCCTCCGCTGCGCTCGCCTGCCCAAAACTATGTCGTTTTGAACGGAAAATAAGGTGCTCGAATGCTTTCTTTTTCTTTTCAAATAAAGTCATTTAACATATTTTTTTCAAGTGTTTTTAACATTTTAAAATATTTTGTCGTATATTTCATATCCTGAAATACTTTTGTTACCTCATGTTAACTGGATTAAAAAAGATTTTGAAGTAATGGACACGCTTAAAAAAAGCCTTTTAGAATGCTGGACATATTTTTTGAAAAAATGTTTTACGGTATTTAATGCATTACAAAATATTTTAGGGTGTTAAATCCACCTTACCTCTTTTAAATAACACTAGCAGTCTAAAATATTTTTCTAAGGAGCACCTACCAAGCATCCTAAAATAATTTTGATGTATTGAGTATCTCTAAAATATTTTTTTAGTACAATCTAATATTCTAAAATAATTTTTTTACATATCTAGCATCGTAAATATATTTTTTGGAATAGCACAGTGTTGTGAGTTTAGGGTATTTGTCGCTGCTAAGAAAAATATTTTGGCATATTCATTACTAATGAAATGAAAAATTATTTTAAAATATTAAGTGCCATTAAAAAATATTTTAGAATGCTAAGTACTACTTCTAGTTTTTAATATAAGAATTTATTTGATTTTTATTTTCGTCATAAATATAAGACTATCATCTAATTTATCTCTCATATTTATCTATTTTTTTTCTAAGGTAATTCTTGTAGTAATGATAGTTCGAGACAATACACTTGATCAGCCAGGATATTTTAGGAAAGAAAATATTTATTTATTATAAATAGCTAACTTAATTAGTTTTTTTAACCTACTCAAATTACTCAATTAGTTCTTATATTAAAGAATATATTAAAAATTATTTTATAATACTCTGTGGGTGCTCCTTAAAAGATGTTTAAAATTAATTCAGAATATTGAATTTTCTTTAAAAAAACAATTGAAGATACTAATATGATTGTTAAAAAAAAAAAAAGTGTTCAAGACCTTCATCTTCCATCCAAAACGACATAATTCAGTTTTGGACAGAGGACAGGAGAGGGGGCGAGCAACGGAGAGAAGCCGCTCGCCTGCTGAGCAATTCCAAGGCACTTATCCCCCACATCACGTTCACTACAATAAATTGATTCTGCCACCTTCGCTTTTAAAAACCCCCCACTGATTCCGCCATCCCCATTTTCATTTCTAATAATTTCCTCCCTAAGGTACACGTCGGAGTTGGACGGAACCAGACCAATATAACTCCGTCCCGTTAAACACGTTATTTTGGACGGCCCTTTTTTTCTCCTTTTGCCAACAAGCCTCTCACTGATCCTACATTCCTACTACTCCATTTTCATTTTTCATGTCCTGCCCTCTCCTGCCTTCTATTTCCTCTTATTTTCGATATAAAATTCATTTAAGAATTTTGACTCATATTCTAAATATAACATTCAAATTTCTCTGGTCTTCTTATTTTATCTCTTGATATATTTATTTTTGGGCTATTTTTATCTTTAAATTCTAAATTATAATAATTAAATGGAATGAGTTTTTTTCCGGAAAAGTGATAAAAAATTATTCACATATTAACTACAAATAATTACTTTATCTTTTTAATTTTACAAATTAATCAAAACATTTTATATTTAAAATCAGAGAGTACTATTGAATATGTTCTCAGGGGAAAAAAAGGTTATGTTTTAACCAATGTAAGAAATGAATAACTAATTTGGAGGTGTTAACAAAAGAAAAAAAACTTAGGTTAAGTTCTTTAAATTTATTATCTAAAATTGTCAAATCACACATGAACATATATTTTTTTTTCTTTCATATGGATTTATAATTAAATGTTATTAAATACTACTACATTTGGTCTTTAATATAAGATGTAACTGACTAATTTAAAGAGATTAAGAAAATTAGTTAAATTAGTTATTTGTAGTAAATAGATATTATCTTCCCTAAAATACCTTTATTAATCATGTGAGTGTGAATTAACCACTGATAGTAACTCCTTAACATATATATAATTTTATATTTATGATCAAATTGAATATCAAACTAGCTTTTATAATAAAGATTAAAAATAGTAATATTTGGAAAATAGTACATATAACTATGTATGACTAGAGAGCTTGATATAATGGATATAAATATTTTAAAGTATTATTCTTAACAAAACTAGTTAAATTAACTATTTGTAACAAATATGTCTTAATTTCTCTAAATAACTATTTTTAATCTTATGTATTGAAACTATCATTTAATCGTGGCTCTTAATTTGAGTAATCAGGAGAAATATTTTGAATAAAGAGTTATAAATTTAAGAGTCAAAATGAAACAGGATATTAAATTTAGAGTTAAAATAATTTTTTTGTCTAGTTCATACATTTAGCACCCAGAAACATATTTGGGGTTGAATAGATTCACATAAATATAAGTATTGTCATAAGTAGACACCATAAACTTTTACATCCACAAAATTAAAAATGTTGCACATTATTCAGAGAACATCGGATATATTACCTTTAATATGATTTTTTTTTGGGCTGTTCTCTTATTTTGTTTTGATGTTGTTATTTACAAAAACAAAGAGGCGAAGAATAAAATAGGGATCAAAGATGGAAGATATGGAGGGGCATTAAAGTGAGAACTTTATTTTATGCAACTAATAATAAGCATAAATATAGAGTATGTGGATGGCAATGAGGCATAGAAGCAGACTGGAGGGCACCTGATCTAGCGGCAGGCGAGAGGTGATTTTTGTTCTTTTTTGGATTTTGACCACTTGCTAAAATGAATGAACTTCCATTTTGTACATAAAATAGAATGATTAAAAAAATACAAGGACAAATTGGCAAAAAAGAAAAAGAAATAAAATTAGAAAGCGATGACACTTTTATATTTATAGATTAAAAATGCTGGAAAAATAACTGTTACTTCTTCGGTCTTAAACATAAAACCCCTTCTGTAATGTAAATATATAAAACACCTTCTGTAATATACTTTACATTATAGAAGGGGTCTTATATTTAGGACCAGAAGAGTATTAATTAAAGTCAACAAAAATATAATACATGTTACATACGTCGGAATTTTTTGCTTCGGAAATGCTTCCTATTTCCATGAAGATGCCGAACCAGCCGCATGAGATGAAGGAGCAGAGTCTTACGGTGGCCAAAGTATGGGGTAATCCAAATTGGAAAATGGAAAGAAGGGAACAAGAGTGGGCCGGTGGGGTCAGCAATTTTAGCGATGTTGAGAAGAATAGGCCAGCTCGATTGACGCTAGTGATCAGCTCGTCTTCTTTTCCCATTCTCTTCTGTTCTCTCTCTCTGTTTTTTTTTTTTATACTAATAGATTAATATTTTAATAATTCAGATTTAAATTTTTAAAATTATTATAAAAATATTAAATTATAAAAACAAATAAATTATAAATTATAAACTATATTAGATTATAAATTATTGGCAAATACATTAAATGTTTTTTAAAAAATTTTATGAATAATTTATAAAAAATTAAAATTCAGGTCGTTGAAATATACTAATGTCATGGTTAGAAAAAGAAGAGAAAAAAAGAGGATGGAAAGCAAAGAAGAGAGATTCCGAACAACGATCCGTTTAGAGTGCCGATTATAATTTAAATAATTCAAGTCAATTTTAAATAACTCAGGTTAAATTTAAATTTTTTGATATTTTTAAATTAATTTTTTGTTTTAATAGACACATAATTTTAAATAAATATAATCTTATAAATAAAACTTCTTTAAAAATAAATTTATCATTAAAAAATTATATATTATAAATTTTAAATCTAAACCATTCATATCAAAATTATTGCATTATAAGCATTAAATTGAACGAGGATGAAGTCACTCCTTAAAAGTGAGTATATCGAACTCATTTTATTTGTACTGTACGCAATAAATTATTGATTAGGAGGAATCTAAACCCCCTTTTTTCATATTCTTTCACGGGGTGATAACTCTTCGACAGAAAAATTATTTCATATAAGAAATGGCACAGCATATTTCTAGTTTCGTGCAACGGATGATAACAATACTGTTGAAAAGATGCTATTATTGCTTGACATCATCATCATAATTCAGTAAACAGGGTACAGCGACATTTAGAAAGCAGCAAAGGTTTGTCTCAAACAACAATTATGGCAACTAGTCTTAAGAAAATAAAACGATGGAAAATATAGATATCATTTTACCCAATAATTGTAGAAACTTTCGTTGTATTTCATTAAAAAAAAAACCATTTTGGAGGTACCTATATATTTTTTTAAATTTTTAATTTGGTATCTTTGTTTTTTTCTTCCTAAATTAGATCTTTAATTTTAGTCTACTAACATTGTTAACTCTTGTATAGAGACTAAAAATGCTGATAGAACAAAGTTAAGAGAGCTAATGTTGCTAAAAAAAATTATTTAATTTTAAAAAAACACACAGGTGCCATATTAAAAATTAAAAAAAAAATGTATAAGTACCTCTAATAGGGTTTTTCCTACTTCCTTCTAACGTGGTCTTTGATATAAGATTCTTCATCTAAACTATTACATTCTTTTGTTTCTCTCTAAATGCATCTTGCTTCAGTATTTCCATACTAATTAAATGTCTTTCTAACTAACTAAACGACCCCTTCTTTGACTGACGAACTTCGGGCGGTTATAATACTCCGCGTCTTAATAACAAGGACAAGAGGGATAGGTTAATCCTAAATACTATCTCTAATTCTTTCTACGTGACACTTTTTTAGCTTTTAGACTAGAGAGAGAGAGAGAGAGTAGATAGGTTTTCAATTCTGCTTATATTTAAGCTCACGCTTTAATTGGGAAAAAGAGACAAATGAGGAAAACAGCAGTAAATATTGACAGAAGGGCAATATTATATAACTTAGACAAAAATTCCATCCGAAGACTTTATAGTAAGAAGTAAAAGTCATTTCCAGAATTACTTTTTAAAAAGAATGGGAGGATGCTACGTTACAAATGGAAGCGAAAACAATATAATTAATTGATGTTAGAGTCAAGTTAAATTCATAAGGATCTCTGCGATACAGCTACGAAGGCAAATATGTTCGCATTTCTGGATGAGATTATGTATTGTCGGGAAATGCAGCAAGCATCTGGAGTGGTACGAACAATACTGCACAACAACATGATGGGAGAATTATTATAATAAGAACGTTAGTATTAATGTGCCAAAGTGCGTAATTAGTATTTGTGAGCCTGAAACCCCGCTGCAGCTTAGATTCACTTGCTGATATCACTTCCAATTATTGTCTTTTTCTTTTGGCAAAATTAAAGGCACAGTCACTAACAGCATAGAAATGAAATAATCAAACTCCATGCATCGTGTTACCGACAAGAAAAATTCGATGCGATCCTGAATTAAAAATAAAAAATGTGTTGGATTAAAGGAAGGGCGCAAGGCGCATGCTGCCTCCAATCCAATAATAATACCTCCATTGTGCGCGACCTAATTATCACCCCCTCTTTTACCTGTTCATCCTTTTATTACCTAATTTTCCCGTTCCCGCCCAAACAAACTCCTCTTCCTCCCTCCTACTCCCAATCATTCTTATCAAATATGAAAACAAGCAGCCAACAAGAGTTAGTCCAATTAGTAAGGAGTTCACTCATAAGCAACAAAGTCGTAAGTTTGAATCTTGCTACTGATATGAGGATCTTGTTGGTCGGCAATCTGTAAGTATCTCTGTAAACACTCTCCGAGCCTGGAGGTTTGTCCTAGCTCTGATGAGTTCCCGGGACCCAATTCACCTAAACTTTTTTGTACAAAAAAAAAATCAAAACAAGCACCGCAAAAAAATTAGGTTTAGTAGAAATTGTTAATCATTCACAGAGCAGTGAATAAAATTTCGAATCACCTTCGAAAAATATGTTGACATTTAATACTCAATAGTGTCTTGAATAGGTTACCTTCAATAAATAAATAAAAAAGATACTTATACACAAGAGGGGGGAAAAAGCAATGCAGCGGAATGCTATTTGTGTGTCTTTTTTTAATGTGTCGTGTACAATGCAAGTGCCGTTGTATGAGTAACTTGGAAATCAAAAAAATAATGATATATTACTATAGTTGGAACATCATTTGAAAACAATACTCAGTGGTAGTAAAATAATAATGAATTGGTTGCTTTAATTTTTGGTTGGTTTGCAGACGAACAACGTGACAGAGCGGGGGGTCAGGGCAGGACACGTCATCATTTGGAGATGAGGACGATGCCCCAAATGGGCCTTTAGCTTTATCCGCAGCCCGACTTCCCACCTCTGGCCCACTTAATTTTTCATGTGGCCCATTCATAAAGCAATGTGGCAGCCGGCACCTCGATGCTCATCTCCAGCAGGAACACAAATCTATTCCACCCTCCACAATAAACGCGTATGCTTTAGCCTCCTTTTGGTTTTCAGACTAATCAACCGCACGCAAAAAAAAAAAATGAGGCAGACAAATTCAATTTCGGAATCAGTAACTGTAGGTGGGTTCTCAATTAGCATAAATTAAGAGAAGTCAACCTCGGATATTAATTCATTCATTGCGCCTTGCCTCACAAGTGAAACATCACACGACACTTTGCACGCCTTCTTCCCTGTGACGTGCATCATTTGGAGATTATGAATTGAATATGACTTCGTTATTATCGGAGAAAAGGCCAATCAGCACAGTAGAATGCTCCCTTCGCTTCATGATAGAGACGGATAAGATCCCACGTCAATCCTACTCTTTCCCCTCATTTTCAATCCATTCATACGTATTTCTCTTCATCAATTATTGTCGGTATTTACTGTTTAGTGAACTTCTCCAGCTCCCCCTCCACTTATCCGCACTGGACGTTTTCATTACTCGGACCCCAGTTCATGATATTAATGTTCGACAAAACCCAATCATGAACAGTGCATGTAATTCTTCAGATATCAAATAACGCGGGCGTCGACATATTTGATTAGAGTAAATGGGCTACTTACATATTGATGGTTCAAAGCACTGACTTGTAGCATATCTGACACGTGTTGGTTAATCAGTACTTTTGCGATGCAGCAACCCCACGATGCGGGTAAAGATCAAAGCATAAGCTCCTCTGCTGAGAAAAGGCGAATAAAGATGATCAAATGACAGCCAGGAAATGGAGTCCCATGGGCCGGGGGGGGGGCTCGTGGGAGGGATTTAGAGATCGGGTGTCCTACAGATTTGGGTGGGCCGGTCCTACCTTCCCCTTATTTTAGCTCCGCATTGCGTCACTATTCATTAGTTGCGACCCTGTAAGCCTGTAGCCAGGCAACACATGGTCCTTGCACTTTCAGATGGGTGTTCATAACCTCACCGTTCTCCTCCAGATCAACAAGAGGTTGTCCCAACACATGAAACCCAGTTTCAGATGGGTGTTCATAACCATCTTTGTCTAAATCCTCAGTAAAGAAATTCTTCACGCAAATCATAACTAAACCATCTCCGTATATTTCCTTCACTCAATTCTGCTACTTCAAAACTACTTTATTTCCCCCCTTTTTTTGGGGATAAAATGGGGCCTTCCTTCCATTTAAATTTTTGCAGCAGAACATCTTTGCTTTGCTTTACTCTAATCTAAGCTGTCCTGTAAATATTACATTTTCTTCCAAAAAAATATTTCATAAGAATTTAACTTGATCTTTCATCATTTTCCATATTTTGAATGGAACGTTATGATCTGTCGAGGAAAAGAGGTACGCAAAATGCAAACTCAACTACGATTATATTTAATAATTGAAAAGCTCTTGCTTAAATTTAAATTACCGGACTTGAACAAACAAGGGAATAACATTAATTTTCTTTGACAAGCTAACTGTACAAATGACTAACGACGATCATCATTGTCATCCTATATAAGTATTTGGCAACGGGTATGCATCCTGGGAAAAAGTGGTTGCTAAGAAGGTGTGGAATGAAATTGAAGGCCGCCCAACTTACCCATTGTACTGATGGTAAGCCACCTTTGTCAAAGGATAAGCACGAACCAAAAGAAAGAAGCATGAAAGTGAAAACTCATCCATCCATTCAAAACAAGTCATGATCAGAAGAGACCACAAGTTTTCTTCCTCATAACTTTATCACATATGATCATAATTATTATATTTCCAATTAGTCATCCCATTCCCACTCCCGCTTACATCAGATTAGTCCCAATTAACCTAAAATATTAAAAAGCAAACCAGAGCACCCACCCGCATCTGCACAGTGATTTGTCATTTGAAAAGCCTGTCATTTTCTTTAAAAAATATTTTATTCGGTTAATTTAGCAGCCCAGGCTTGTCTAATACGCCTTCTCTTTGATAACATCGAATCCCATCTCCGTCGGATCCGTTGCCTGCACTTCGTAGTGGATTCCTTCCAGAGCCCTTCTCAGCCCATCCTTCGATGTTGCGTACAGCATCTTCGCCCTTATCCTCGATGCCGTTGGGGACCTGCAATTCTTAACAAATCATCAGGGCTAAATTGTAATTTCTCACTTATCTCAGACAGAAATTGACGGAGGGACGGACCATGCGATGAAGAAGATCTTGCTCTTACGGCAGTTATCGACGGTCACGAAGTCGAAGTCGAAGACGGCGTATCGGCAATCGTCGTTGGGCAAGGACGCGGCGAGATCGTCGTAGTTCTCGGCGGCGCCGCCGACCTTATCGACGGTGACGAGCCTGGATCTTTCGTCGATCTTGAACACGATGTATCTGTGGACCTTCTTCCACTTCATCTCCATGAAAGAGTTCTTGCACTCATCGGTCACCCACATTCCGGTGGTCGCCTGCGCAGCATAATTGTTAACACATAAAGGTCAGAAGACGAGAGAATTGCAAGAGACAGAGCAAAGAAGAAACTCGAAGATACCATCTTGAATGCCATAGCCATTGTTGCCGCGACTGGGAGCAGAGATTGAAGAAGATAAGGAAGGAATTATGAGGGTTGTTTTACTTGAACTTTGGGTAAAAATAAGAAGATGCTTTGAATGAGAAGAGAGGATGTTGGGTCCTTATATAAAGCAAATCGGGCCACGTCATTATTTTCATTAATCCGGGGGCCGCGAGCCAGAAAAAGGCCTCAGGTATTTCTCCGTATTTACACTTTTGACCTCTCGTCCGAAAGTTCAGATTATTGATAAATAATTATTTTAAATAAAATTATATACGAGTTAAGGTGATATTTTTTAGAATTGAAATTTGAAAATTTTGAGGTAAAACTTATATGTAAAGAAGGGGAGTGATCAGGCAAAGGAGGCCGCTTTTGTTCAAAAGGGGGTGAAAAATATTGAAAGATGGTGAGAGTGAGCTTAATTATCACCTACCATTATTGGTTCAATTAATCATTTCAATTTCAATTAAAGCCTTCTGTGATTTCTTCCATCTGATTCAGTAATGCCTAAGAACTTCCCTAATTAAACACAATTAGTGGGCATTGGTACATTGCACTTTTCATTCAGCTCTAGCATCATTATTATTGAGTTCAGTTTTTTCTGAATTCATTTTACCAAATAAACTGTATCATCAATGTGCATAATAAAATTTATAGTAAGTCATGAATAGTGTGTGCACATTTTAAAATTTATATGATACTGGAGAAAGCATGTCTATTAATCTTTTTTTCAATAAATGGAAAGGATTTACTCTTAATATGTTACTCTCAGAAGAATTTAATTCCAATTGATTTTTGAACAGACCCAATATAATATCAGGGGAATTTGTTGGTCTTTCCTTTCGAGACAAAATAAAAATATTTCATATTCACCCAAAAAAAAAAATTTAAGTCACTGAATTAGAAGTTTTCATGATGACACTCTTTAAGTTTGATAGAAAATCCGCCATGTATCATTAAACTCAAACTCAAATATGATGCAAAATGGGGGAAGGGAAAGAGGAAGAGAGAAAAAGAAAGATGAGGGGGAAAAAAGAAGAATTGAAATGAGATCTTAAAAAAAAATTACAAAATAAGTTTGAGAGGTTGTTATTCTTTACTTTATAACTTGTCATTAAAAAGTTGCTTAGGTTGTTATTGAAACTTTTTATTAATTATTTCTCTTCTTTGAAATTTAATTGTAATTCTCTTAAAAAAAAAAAAGAAAGGGTCAAAGACAAGAGAGAAATCAGGAGAATGGAGGCAAAGAAATTTTAATATTATTCCAGACATACAAAGCAGATATATTGAAGTGCTACTTATAAGTCTCAATCCAATATAGTAACCGGATATTTCAGAATTTGAAAATTAAATGCGCCGACAATAATAATAATAAAAATTTAAAATTGAATGCGATTATAATAATAAAAATTCAGAATTAAAATAGCTTCCTAAAACAATAATTACCTAGAAGGAAATAGTTGACAAGTCTCGGTAATAATTCTGGAATCCTTTCGGCATCTTGCTCTTTTCCATCACTCAAAAGGACCAATAATTCTCACACCACAATTTCATTTTTTTTCCTGAAGGATTATGATATAAAATTATAGAGCAGAGTTTCAACTTACCAGTAATAATTATATGTAAGGAACATAAATAAAGAAATATGATTGAAATTTATTGATGATTGACTTTATTACCATGAAGAAATCTGGTATTTTTTGAGCATATACAAACATTACACAAAATTTGTCGCGTCATAAATGGCTTGATTTATTAAGGAATTTTATTCCCCTCGACTAACATACCTTTTATATATGCTTTATCTTTTGTAATTTGTCCTTTACACTTTGTTCGTACATAATATTTCATTGATAAATTAAAAAAAGAATAATGTACACGGTCTGGTCTGATCTAATCTTTCTATATAATAGCCACTTATCACCTTTGAAACAACTCGATTGTGCGTTCATATTTTGCAAGAAATTCTTGTTGAATAAGCAGTGCATATATGGCTCATACTGTATGCACAATTCTCTTTAGTTGCTTGTTAAATTCGAATCGGTTTCTACGATTGTACTTTTCAGTTTTATTCAACTGCATTTTATACAATAATTGTTTTATTTTTACTTGCAAGGAAATTATGTTTAATAGTATTCACTAAATGATCTAGATTTCTTAGCGTCAATTTACACTAATAATAAATGAACTTGTGCACTGGAATTAATTACTTGCCAAATCTGATTCGCCAAATAGAATTTCTTGTTCATCATACTTCGCCAATTCTGGCTATGACTTATGACCACTCATGTGAACTGACATTGGATATGTAAATATATTCTATAGGACGAGTGGAGTTTTCAATCTCTCACTTTTAAAATATTGACTGACATTTTGTGGCACATATTTTAAACTACCGTATGAAATAAAAGGTCCTATAAGTAGATGATCTGGTCATACAAAACCGCAATGATATGCTCAACTATTAAAAGATGGTGTTTAGTCAGGTGTGATTAATTTATGAAGATAAGGGCATTTGACTATGACACAAGCACAAGTCCTGAATTGAATTTGAAAGTGATATGGACATTATTAATGGTTAAAGGGATTAATTCAGTTATGGGCTTCATGATTTTGCAGGTGATCTTCTCTTGCAAAAACTCTTAAAATTCTTTGGCATGATTAGATCCATTCAACCCAACACAAGTATGGTGGCATCATATGCCTTCTACTTCTTTTTAACATGAATGATGCATTCCCCAAATTAATTTTAAGGTGATTGGATGCTTGATGACTAGAATGATGGTACTTGATTGGGAGAGGGAAGAAAATTAGGTAGGCCCAAGTGTAAGCTTTTGGATTATAAAATTCCATAAAGTGCATAAAAGATGAAGTGAAATTTAGAGAGGGAGAATAATGAATGTGTTGAGGAGTTTAACCCAAAAACAGAGTGGCGAGTGAAAAGTGAAAACTAAGGGGAACGTAAAGTAGAAGCAGAGTACTATTCAAAGTACTCAAAACCTGTTTTTTAGACAGTAGCAGTTGAGCAGTTGATCCCCATTTGGATAGGTGGGATCAAAAACTGGCTCTCTTGTCTGAAAGAATAATGGTCTTTGCGTGAGAGTGAAGCAGCAAATTAGCAGATGGAAGACCAAAAGGGGTGGCCTCGATGGGTGCAATTCAATCCAAGTGCGTCCCACCAATCAATGAGGCCTCAATTTTGCTGACCACAAGTTTGTTTATGTTGTGTGTATTCAATTCCCAAAGAGTTTTCTAGGTTTCTCTGCAGATATCAATCCCCAGGCTTGAGTTTTGCCACTCATCAACTGAATCCTGCAAACGGATGGATCATCGCCCCAAGTGTCACGATTTATTACCTAACTAATGTCATTCGGATGGGAAGCTGAGGAACAATGAGAGAGAGAGAGAGATGATTACAAACGCAAAGATCCAGGAAGACACAGTGAGAAAATACAAGTTATGCAGATGAATATGGGGGCATGCCCATCAGCCCAAAGGCCCCTCTCCTTGACTTGATAAACATATATATTTATATATCGTGAACAATATTTGGGAGTTGATGTCGATGCGAATTATTGAAGGGAGACCATGAGAATCCGCAAGAGATTTGAAGGTGGGGAGGGGGGTTTATAGTGCATGGAAGTACTCGATTTGATGAAAGTGATTGAGGAGATGAATTGGTCGTCACAGAAGCAGTTATTAGTTGAGAATTGAAGGGTAGTTTCTTGACTTTATCTCGTTGGCTCTTGTTTCCTCACTTTTATTATTGTCAACATCTCATTCTGAGCCAATCAAATGTTGTCACCTTTGGTATTCTCTCTGGATACTACTCATGTATTTGCTTCTGCCCCATTTATAGTCGACATAATCTCCATATATATCCACCACAAGTCGACGTGGATCCACTAATCTCTTCTTCCCCCCATCTCTCTTTAATCGCTAATAAAATAATAGCAGAACATTATGCACATAGAACCTGATCAGTGCATAATCGATAATCAAAATGACTTCACACCTTAAGGGTCCAATATGGTAAATTCCGCGTGTTGTATTAGTGAAATAAGTATGGCAAGATGGGCGATTTGCGTATTTGTTAACGTCTCAGGTTGCATTCTTCAGTTGTATCGACTGCTGCTTTAATAAAAATGTGCTACGAATCTGTGTATTAACTGTGTGTATGAGAGAGAGAGAGAGAGAGATATTTTTGTCTCTTCTGTAAGTATGGGTTACATTATTAAATTTTTAACATATACTATTCTGGTCCTATTTACAGAGCAGAAGAAAAAAAAATTTTGATCCTATTTATAGGGTATTAAGAGAAATTTTTTTATATAGATGTATAGTTTTACCCATTATTTATCAGTGTTAATTTTATTTACATGAGGTATAATGTATGTTAAATATAGATAAAATTAGAAAGTTGTTGAATTTTAAATGACAGTTAATAAAGTTTAAGGTTTTTCTTGATTTGTGTGAAATATCCTAGAAGTGACTTATTAATCATATCAGAGTATATATTATTTCATTTTTAATTTATTATTGTATAGATTGTTACTTTATTACTACCTCCGGTTTTTAATATAAGACCTCATTTGATTTTTATTTTGATCCTAAATATAAGACCTCAATCCACTTTGTCTCTCATATTTGTATATTTTTTCAAAGTAGTCCTTCTAATAATGATAGTTCTAACCAATATACTTGATTAGTAAGGATATTTTAGGAAAGACAACATATATTTATTATAAATAACTAACTTAACTTATTTTTTTAATCTACTTAAATTAGTCAATTAGTTCTTATATTTAGAATCAAAGGTAGTATAATATATATATTAAATTTGAGTAGAATTAAAAAGCTACTAAATTTTAAAATAAAATTAATGAAAATGACATGAGAATATAGATTAACGATAAAAGTTGGTACTGTATCTATTAGACTTGGACGTTTGGGAATACACATTCCACCAGCCCGACTTTCAACTGCGTAGCTCATAGAGATTTGAACGCACGCTCTACAAGACGATGACGGCCAAAGCTAAGCGAAAAAGTTACCTTTTTAAAAAAAAAAGAAAAAGAAAGGAAAAAGAAAACGCTTTATTCAGACACGGATCCATTGCAGAAGAATTTAATTCGTCGCATCAATAAATTCAACGGCCCGCTTCTCTGTTCTTCTCTTCCCTCACTTTGTCAACTTGCTCTTTTTCTTCTTTCTTTTTTTTCCAACCCCACTTCTTTTGGTGGCAAAGTGCCTTTTTAAATGTCCCTAGCAGAGTAAATAGCAGTAAAAACAAAAGCTACTGCTCATATATTAAGTTATTAACCCCTCCCCCCAAGAGAAAAAGTTACTGCTCATTAATAGACTTCAATCATCTTTAAGATTTTCAAAAATAAATAAACAAAAGGTTTGGCCGTCGGTGCGGGGATGATCACTCACTGTGGCCAGCAAACTTTGATGTTATTAAGTGAGTTCATGAGAGTGGCACAACCCATGTAATCGAACAAACCGCCAAATTCTGGACAAGAATCATGGAATAAGCCCATGTACGTTCCAACTTTTCCCTTTTGGGTCACTTGATCTGATACAGAATTCGTTCCATCATGCTGGGCTTACCCTTCCTGCACAGCATAACCCCATCATGTCCCAATACTGTCCAAAACTCCCAATTCTAAGCCCAATAAGTAACCTGTGGAATCTTACGCCAACACAATAACTTGGGAGGCCGGGGTTCATTTGCCGCCTCCCTCGCATGTCTTCTAATTTTCACCTGTGACCGTGACATAAATACTGAACCTGAAGGATTCATTCTTGTCATGTTGCAAGTTTATATTAACGCCATATATCGTTTGTAGGGTGAATGGCGGTAATGACAAGTTTTCAACAAAGTCATCAAAAATGAAACTTTTAACCTTTTCAGATCATATAAAGAGATAATAATCATACAGCTTGTAACCAGTTCAATCACTAGAAGAACACCAACTTAAAAAAGAGAAAATCATGGGGAATCTTGGGAATTAAAAAAGCTATAAACCAAGTCTTAATAATGGACAAAAATTTCTCGGAGGGTCAACTCCTACCACTACCCCATAATACATCATCCAGGCTACAATGACATTCGGAGGCCAACTCCCAAGTTAACAGGAAATTCGGCCTTATTGTGCATAATAAGTTATCTAATCAGAGAATGGGATAAGAAAGACTCGAGACATATGCACAATAGGCAGACAAGCAATTGTGATTGTGAAGCCCGAGGATTTATTTACACGCCAATTGTTCTTGTAGGAAGAGATTGTCTTTGACCTCTGCTAATAGGTAGGTGAACATACACCTCATGGACCTCCTGTTTACAAACCTCTCCTTTGTCCCTGTCTATGGCATAGCACACATAAACAGCTTCAACCACGTTGTCGAGTACATGCACGAAGAAACCCAGAACTAATAACAACAGCAACCAAGCCAGAGCAGCCACAAGATACGAATAAGCTCCGAGATCGCTCACGGCTTGTAAGATTGCACAGACCTGCTCATTCAGTAGCCATTAGCCCATCCAAGGAATGCAGAGAGAATAAAAAGGAACGCTAATTGGACTGAACTGGAAGCTAAACACCAAAATACTAAATAGATAGATAACAAAACCCAGGTAAAAGGCCGACTTGCCTATTTATCCAAATCCCTAGAAAATGAGAGCTGGGACATTAAAATCCAAAAGCCCCCCCTCCAAAAAAAAAAAAAAAAGAATCAACACAAATGAACTCGCAGGCACCTCAACTCTTTCGATTTAAGTGTGGCGCATGATTGGTTTGTAACTTTGCATTGCCACATGCAATTAGAACTCAGTTAGCTAGATGGTTAGTCAAACAGTTCGAGCAGTTTTGATTGTGATTCAGTACGAAAGAGAGTTGAAATAATACAATCCAGAGTATCTTTCAGACTTGAGAGCAATTTAGCACCGAGAATTTCCCTCTCGCCCCAAACATAAGAGGAAAACAATGAAAATCCCAGAAGCTAGTCACCATTTTGGCCTGCCATGTGAATACTGGTGATGTTTAAAATTGACGGCAGGATATATTCAGATCAATAACATTCTACATCTATAGGATACAACCGTCTGACTGCTATGATGAAGAATGGAAAACTGATTATTTCAGGCACTAACAAAACTTGTTGAAATATCACTTCAGTGGAAACTAAATCATAGTAACAAAAATCTGATGCAAAGCATGAGACCAAAAGAAAGTAGTACTAGTGAAACGCACCACAATTGTGTATATTGCTGAGAGGACGAAGACAATTCCAACCAAGAGACGGGATGAGATGGTCTCCACAAAAACAGTTGAGAGAAGATTCCGTCTCAGAAGTTCATATGTCATCCTTGCAGATGAGCAGTATGCTTCACCAGTTATTGCAGCAAAGTTGATGGTAAACTTATTAAGAAAATCTACCGCAGTCAGCAAGGCATTCACACAACATCTTAATACAAGGTTCACTATCCCAGATGCCTCCTCACGTCTTGCACTGTCAACAGCAGCCCGCACCATCCGGACAACACAGATAAGCAAACCTGACAAACATATGGTGCCAGATGAAGGACCAAATGCATTTCTGCAAGGCAAACTCATAGTTAACATGTAACCAAGTGCAAAGCTATCATCTATATTAGTTGAATAATTACATTACTTTCTTTTTCCCCATCTCCCGCCCAAGGAGTAAGCTAAGGAGAATAATCACATCTGGAAGCAAGATACATCACAGAAATTTTCCTCCTCCCACTATTGACATCACATTACAGAGTTAGAGTTAAGTACACGTTGATGGGTAAACAATTATCATCGGAGACTGGAATGAAAGTTTTGGCACCAAGGTTTTACAAGTTTTGATAATATCAAATATTAATTTTTTACTAAATATTTTCCAATATAGTCCAATGTGGATATGATTTAATGATTATTTCATCATGTGATCAATTGACTTATATGTTTGGAGATAAATCATGACCAGATTATATGCACTTATAAGCTAATTATGTGATTTTGTGATAGGAGAAGAACACAAGATTGGAAGTACGATTATCTGATTAGAACCATGAAGGAAAAAGAACATTGCTTGGTTAAAGCAGATAAAGATAGACCATTGATGTTGGGCAACCCAGTGTCAATAGTCAAATGGAATCAAGTATAAAACAAAGATGAAGACAACCGATCAAGCCAGCATACTCTCTAAGTTTACATTGAGTAGCTTGAAAGTCTTATATTGTGTGAGCTTCGTTGTAAAACAGTATAGCTAGTGAGATCTTAGTTCGAGTGTTGTCAGGTTATCTTACATCCAATTAAGTTTTGGCTGAACTAGCAAGAACACTGCACGTCTATCATAAGCCTGTGTCCAGTTTTAAGCTAGCTGAAATCTAGCTGAGTTGTCAGAGAGTTTGAGAAAACTATCTATTGTGATTGATTTTAATAGAAAGCACAAATCTCTAAAGTATTGTCAAGGGAATTGAACAAAGGTAACGGCGCCAATCAAGATGAGTTTCTGAGTTATTGCCCTTGTAAGTTGTAATGGAGAACTACCCCTAACAGTTTTTTAAGTTAGCCGCCTTGGTTTTAGCCAACTAACCAGTAAAGTTTTATTGCTAGTTAAATTCCGAATAATCACCTATCACCTCTCTCTACATGATATTTCATAAAGTGCACAATGTTATGAGCGAACAATTCCTAGCCCCTTCACTAATCAACCTGGAACATAGTTCCCCAACGAATATCAAGAATTGGTTCAGTTTGCAAATTAATTTAACCAATTTTACTCTAGATTGTGAAGATGTAACATATTCCACAGGGCGGGGGAGCTTGTTACGATCCTTCTACAACGAAAAAAGTCAAGGGGAGAACATGTTTAGGGACTTAGGGCAGCAACATAAAATAAATCATAAAGACTGTTTCTGGTTTCTACTTTGTGCCCTACTTACATAAGAGGGCACGTTGAAATTGTGTCATACGTCCATGTTCATGTCCATAGGCTCAAGCTGGCAACTTTCCAGTTCCCACTACCAAAAATAATATAGTTAACTATCTGATAACCTCAGTCTAAAATGCTCATTATGGAAAATTCTAAGCAGCTGCAAAAGCAACAAAAATCACAAATATGAGCAAAACGATATTATGTTCACCTCAGAGAACTTCTTATACTCTTTCTTGGAGCTTCATCCGCCTTGGAGAAATACCACTGCGCAATTGTGCCACTGATCACATAAACTTTTGTCTCTACCATAATTGTGGCGGACCACAACATGGTGAGAATTGCCAATGCAAAATAAGCGGGCACCCAGCTATCTTGCTTCCAAACGCAAGTATATTTACCACTCGATACTTTTGCCACAATATCACCATTAAATCTCGCAAATACCAAAAACACGACGATTGGAGCATAATATATAATCAATCCCAAAGTCAAACAGGGTAGCGCCACAAACAAACCCAAATTCTTCGAAAGCGCGTCGGAAGCAACCCCAATTATTCTTATAGTGAGCTCAATCCGATGCCAATTAATCACGAAGATCCACACAATCACCCCAATAATTAAGAAGACGAACACGAGCACTAGAATTCTGTATGCCAGCGGAAACGCATCGCTACAAGTGGAGCTGACAGTGCAAGCAACAAACCAATACACGTTCAAGAAAATGGGGACAACGATGAAGAATGGGAGGGAAACGTACACAATCTGTTTGGTGTAATGCTTGAGTAACAAAAGAAGGCCGAAGCACATGGGCACGCTCAGGACCAAGGTGGCAACAAGGGTCCATATCAAATCCTCCGGAACATGCGAAGCCGAGGAATTTAAGAGATCCCAATTGGCAGATGACAGGGAATCCTTCACGCAGGAGGAAGAATTATAATTGTAAGTGTAAGACGAGACAGTGGAATAGTTGGAATTCCGATGAAAGACGGCGAAGATGCCGAAACCGAAGGTGCAGAGAACGAGGAGAAGGAAGAGGATTAAGAAAGGTATGTCCTTGAAGGAGCGAGGACCATGATTGTAACAGATTTGGAGATACTGGGTCGGGTCGGATTCGCTGCGGGGCGGTTCATCGATCGGAGAAGGAAAAGGAGGAGGTTTGGAGAGCAGAGGCTGTGAATGAGAAGGCGAGGAGGAGGGGTCATAGGGGGAAACGGGTTTGTTGGGGTCCTCGCTGCTGCCCATGACGGCGAAGCAAAAGGGTTCGGATCAATCGGCGAAGGAAGAAGAAGAGGAGGAGGGGGGGAGATGGTCAGGAGCTATGACGATGGAGTAGCTGGCCAAGGTGACATTCTCGGGGTTGACTAAACCTCGGCTGAGAAGAACAGCAGTTGTGTGAGAATCTGGTGGCCACTGTTCTCTGATCTTATCACTTACCATCACAGTTTAAGACTTGGACGGCATTAATTATTTCTTCTCAGCAGAAACAAAACTACCAGCCCCGTCCTTTGAAAATTTGAAGTTAACATCTATAATATTTTCTTGTTTGATTTATAATTTATAAATTAGATTAATATAATTTTTAGTCATTTAATTCACACTCTCTCAGATTTTTTTATTTTAAATATTACTATCTATAATTTAATAAAAATTTAACCTATTCTATTTTTTAAGAGATCAAAACTTATAATTTAAAACTTAAAAGATTAAAATTAAAATAACAACAAATCTAAAAAACCAAATGTTATATTAACCTTTATAAGTTTACAACCACTTTGATTTTATGAAGGCTAGGCTGGCCCGGCCCCCGGGGGGGGATTTCATGAATTGAAAGCTAGAATTCCTTTCTTGTCATAACTCATAAGTATCAAACAGGCCTTTAGTATTTTGGCCAAAAAAAAAAAAAACAGGCCTTTAGTATGAGATTGAAAAAACAAGTCTTTAAAGAAATCAGATTATCTTAATCTTTAACTCTTGATTTGTTTGCTCCGACTTCTGAGGGACATTGAATGAGTTTAATAATTGGCAACAATCATTTATTAGCTCAATATGTTTGATAAATATATATTTTATAATTAAAAAGACGTAAATTTTAGGAGATATAAGATATGAGATTGAATGTATAAATATTTTATCTATATTTAATTTATTTTATATTTTTTTCCTAGACTAACATTTATCAAGATTAAAGTTATTTTTCCATAACATCTCCCTGTATCTTTTTCATTTGGTAGATAATATAAAATAAAAGAAAATTTTTTGAAGGGATGGGATTGTTATTTGTAGTTCTATCCCACGAGAGGAAAAGAATAGTCTCATCAGGAACAACCAAAAAGAATTTCATTTGCATTTTATATGAATCAAGCTAGTAATTAAATATTATACACACTTAACATCCTGAGTTAAAGCAGTTGCTCTGCTGCAAACTTCTGCACCAATAAAATAAAAAATAAAATTCATTTCTGATAATTGGAAAAAAATGTAATTTGATTAAAGACATAAGTAAAGTTTTTGTGGGGAAATGAAATAAAATTTTTCATGAGAGCCACGAGGTCGGAGACGTGAAGGCTTTCTTTAGGATTATTTAATAAGATATTGAGAAAAAGTTTAGGATGTTACTTCAGGGGAGGAAAGGGAAAAGAAAATTTTAATAAGCTCTGCCTCTATTTAAAAAATTAGAGATGTAAAACTTTGAAATTTTAATAAAGAAAAAAAAGTAATATAAAGAGTGATAAAAATTCATTAAGAGCTTTTAACCCCTTTTTTTAATTTTTTAAATCAAGTTTATTAAAAAAAATTTCTTTCCTCTTTTTTTTTCCCCTCGTACCAAACGGAACACTTAAAGAAATTTTAAATTAATAATAATTGTTAATTACTGAGAGTAGCAGAAGAAGATGGTGACATTGGTGAGTTGTGGAGCACGTGGTTTGGCATCAAGACCTGGCGGTACACATTTTTTTTTTTTTTGGACGGACTGGCGGTACACATTGGATGCCTTAAATATGATGATTGTACTGACTGCTAACGACCAAGCTCAAGGTTAAAAACTCGTAACTCTTTCTGATATACAGTAGTTTTTTCACCACGAGATAAGTTTGAATGATTTTTAGTTATAATTCCATCAATATCTTCTATTTAAAAATAATGACTATAAAATATAGGTCCTTTAGAGTAATTTCTCCATATAATTTCTTCCCATGTTTGTTTTTATAATGCACTTGTTTAAGTTCCTACTCAGGAGATTGAATCATTCCCTAATCCTTTAACAGACTCGTCAACTCTGATCTGATGCATCCCCAGAAAGATATCATCGCACTAACCTAAACTAAAACAAAAAATTTTGTGATTATAATAAATGAAGAGATTCATCTTTGATCATCGCACTGGCTCTTGAGTATCTCACTGGAGATCTTACCGGAGTCTACAACCACTGTGTTCTTCTTCTGGGTTTCCGATCCCATCCCTTCGACTACATCTGGAACAAAACAATAGATAGATGAAAGCCACCCCGACATGACTTGCCCAGCAATTAATCTCCTCTTTTTTATTTTTGGGCTGCTGCTTCCTCAACGATTTTACTCGCAGGGGTTTCAAACAGGTATTTCTGATGGGTCCCGTTGCTCTGCGAAAGCATCAGTTTTTGTGGCCACAAACCCAGCAGTAATCAATCCCTGATGCTACAACTCTTTCATATTACAATTACTATTTAACCCATCTCATCCCACAGATTAATAAATCCTGCAAAACTAAAACCTTCCAGATTCTGATATTTTCGTTCCCCCGTCTTTCGAAATAGATCGCCGGCGGTGGGATGACAGTCGATGGGGTACTTTCGTCATTTTCACTCCTCTTTCCTTTCCTGCCGCCTAAATCCACCGTCAGGGACGTCATGTGGTTGAAATAGTACTAGATTTCCCTATGCAGAGCATGGTATTCACTGACCCAAATTTGTCATCCGTATTGAAGCCCTAACGAGGAACCATGTGTCTTCTGGGTAACATTCTCGTGTCAGGATAACTCGTGTTGGAGCCCAAATATGCAAACATAAGGATGTTTCACGAGTCCAAGAGTTTGATAGCCCAATTCCTAGGGAGCACAGCAGGCCCATTTCAAACCAGGCCAGTCACGACCCTACCCACCCCCACTTCTCATTTTTTTAAAATAAATGTTGTATTTAATTAAAAATTTAATAATTTAATTTTACTTAATATTACGTAAAAGTTGTCCATAATATTCCGCAAAAACTCTTCTGATTCTTAGTTCACTCGGGTCGGCTCAAGTATTCATAAGGTTGGATGTAGGGGGGAGTCAAAATTGGCCGTGAAAACTTGTTTATGGATGGGTCTTATGAGTTCAGTTGACTTCTTCAGGAGCAGCTTTGAGAATGCTGACAATTGAACAATATCTTCAGTTTAAAAAAAATATTTAGGTAGAAACTCAACTATAATTTTAAAAATGATTTTATAGTATATAAAGTAAACATATAAGATAAGTTTTATCTGGAGTTATGTAAAAATATTTTTTAAAAGTAAAGGAAATCAAATGACTCCTAAAAAGAGAATGAATTATTCGATAAAAAGGATAATTCTTCCGTGAATATAATCTTTGGATTAAAGGTCGTAAGATACTTCACTGGAGGCGTTTAGTGAAGATGATATCTAATTATCTATTGAACGGCGTTGATCTAATTGGGTGTTTGGCAAAACCAAAACCTAGGTTTCAAAATCACTTTTCCGCAAAACGAGGTAACCTCGTCCACATATTTACTTCGTAATCCGTAAAAGCACTTTTAAAACCATGGTTTGGTTTCTATCCAAACACACCCTAAATTTGGCGCGGTGGCCTGACTCCCAAATGATGCGGTCCCGTGTCGTCTCCAGCTATATTTCACTGCGCTCAAGAGCGACAAATTGATTTGAGAAAACAGTGCTAATTATGAAAATTGATTTCATGAGTAAGTAATTTTTGTCCAAAGATAACACCTTTTTTTTCCCTCCCCGTCTTTTGGTTGGGTGGGTCTGAGGGACAGGCTTCTCCGGGAATAACCGAATAAGACGCCGATTTTGGAAAAAAGTTTTCAAGGATAACGATGCTTTCCGCAGCTTTTTTTATGAGCAAACCTGGCATCTCACCATCTCACTGTAGTATATTCCTGATATAAATTCCCATGTTGTCCCTCATGTTTTTATTGCATTTTAATTTAAATATGACAAACATATAATCTAATAGTAAAATATGCTCAATTTTTTCAAAAATACATTGCGACACCATACTTTGTAATTTTGATGAAACTAAAACTGGGTAGAATGATTCCCCTTTACTTCTTAGTAAAAGTAGAAGATTGCGGGGGATTGTGGGAGAGGACAGTAATGTTCATTTGATTCTATCCCACGCTACTCCCATTATAAGAAACAGCTACCACATATGACTGGTTTTTAAATTATGCTTTCATAGTTTCATCCTGTTGGGTGAAAACATAAGAGCATCGAACAATCGCGGACGTGGTAATTATTAATTTATGGAGTGAGATATTCCTCAGTGGTAGGGCCTATCAGTTGAGGCATCCGGACGACATAATCCTTTCTTTTTCAAAATCGCTTTTATTAAAAACACGACAGCCCAGAATATTTCCAACTTTCGACCATACGCACATGATTTTATATTTCGCTTTATTGCTCTTCCTTGGATTAGCATTCCACATTTTGCGTCTTTTAATTTGCTTTGCTCCACTCTTCAAAATCTTCTTCATTGTTCCAATCATCTACCTCTCACCACTTTTCACACCTAACATTTTCTTTTCCCACCCCACACATATACTACAGATTTAGCATGTCAGGGTTTCTTCTCAGTTCTCACACTCAGTTTTATCTTTGTGTTCTGATATCATCGCAGCTTTATCTAAATTTTTCTTTTTGGGCCGGGAAAAAAGAAAGTAAGAGCGAGGCAAATTAAGGGCTTGTTTAGAACTTCATTCAAAACGAACTTGTTTCATGAAAACGAAACAAAACTCTCCTCACATATTTAATTCGGATTCTGTAAATTATGTTAAAAAATTATTTATAAATCAATCCAAACAAACCCTCGATTACTTGTTAAATCTGCAAAGTTTACACTGGCACAGACACAACAGAAATCTCGGCTGAGTGTGCAGTGCCTGTTTCAGGCGGCTTTCTTCCACCCTGTTATTCATGTGACAGACCAGCAAATCGGGGCGGCCTATAATTGCAGAGATGCTCTTTATGGACCCCACAAAAATAAATCACCAATTATATGTACAGCCAAAAATAAAAGCAGATTTCAAAGTAGGATCAGTTTATTGATGATCAATAATATACCAAACTAATCATAAATCAGCACACTTATCCTGAAAATGTTTGTTTTTAACTTTTTATAACGAGAGAGTTGAAGAGCTAAAGGAGGAAGAAACTAAGCAAAATGCTATTAATGAAGACGAAGGCAGATTGTAGAGACGACAAAGGGAATGTGGTGGGCGAGGCTCCCATGGCCAGACCAGCTATATATGAGCTATCTGCCAGCATGGCCTCCCCATTCGACCCTGAACCCGTAACCGAGTACCCCATAGTTGAGCCCGAGTCTGTGCCCGACTCCGAGACCAACTTGGGGTCTGGGCCAAACTCAGAAGCCGAACCCATGGTGAATCCGGTGCCCGTGGAGGTGGCTCCGAATCCGGAATCTTGTGAGTATGGTGCCGGTGGCGGTGGCGTTGAGGTGATCATGACGGGAGGGGCATAAACATAATCTTGTGAAGATTTCTGACTGCAAAAATCACAGAGAGATTCATTAATTAAAGTAATTAAAAAACTAATGGCGCCATTTGCGTTGGTGGTGAGTGGTGTGAGATCAATCATTAAAGACAAATCCGCCAACCATAGTCTAAGACACATTCATTCTAAACCAACCAATATTTTATAGCCACAGCATCCAAAAAGGTTATTCCCTGGCCGTATACAATGCAAATGCCACCTCCTAATAGTAATAGCATTCAAAACATTATGCTAATCAATAGAAAAATCACAAGCATATAATTTTTATAGTTTAATATTACTGAAATTACATTTTCCAAAAACGTATATCCGGTACAAAATTTATGTAAATATATTGCCTATGAACTTATCAAACTTTTATTTTTAATTACAAATTAAATGTATCTCAATTATTTTGATAAAAGTTGGGGGAGCATATATTCTAATTTAGATGCTTTGGTAGCAGACATTAGTGCCGGATAAAGAAACGAAGTTCGGTCAATGTCTGGGTACCATATAATAATAACATGGCATGAAAAAGATAAAGCTTGCTTGCTTTGGTCTTTTTACCTGGGAGAGGATGGGCAAAACGTCACCGTATAGTCGGCACCCGTACACGTAAACGTACTCGTAGCGTCGTCGTAGGCGTAGCTATACGATCTCGGGCAAGCCGACTTGAACATTTCCGAGTACACGGATGGCTTACATGTCGCCGGCGAGCTGTATGCGCCGCTGCAACAGTACTGAGGGCTGTTGAATGCCTCACACGCGCTCTTACACGCGTCTCCCTCCCCCACTCTGAGCTCCTGCGGGCACTGCCGGTTCAGATCCGAAACGCAACCGGTAGGAGCGCACAGACCCGACCCACCCGTCCCTTCCACGATCATCGGAACATTGTACCCATCCACAAGACTAACGTCGTAAAAGTCTTGCCCTCCCGTACTACTACTGAGCGTAAACTCGGCGAGAGTGACAGGCGGCGACGCCCCGGCGCCATTACACTCGAGCTGCCCTGAGCCACAGTCGCCAGTGACACATTTGCCGGATCCGTCGAAGTTACAACCTGTCCGACCCCAGAAGCGGCCGGACCAGCCGGTGGGAGCGAGGAAGGAGCGGGAAGTATCTTTGGGGAGCTCGAATCCGGTGGTGTCGAGGCTTCCGCTGCCGGCATTAGCGAGGATTCCGGGCCAGACGGTGTGGTGACATCGGTTGACGAATGTGAAAGTGGTAGCGTGAACTGCTGAAGAAGAAAAGAGTAAGAAAATGTTAAATAAAAAGCACAGAAGAAGCGAGAGAGAAAGAGAGAGTAGGATAGTTAAATGAATTACCAGAGGGAATGAGGAGGAGGAGGAGGAGGAAGGTGAAGCAGGAGGAGGGGGGATGTTCCATGGCGGAAGTTGGAACACGAGAGGAGAGTGATGGTGGTTGGGGAGGTGCTGGCACTGAGCAGCGAGGCTTCCTAAAAGGAGCAGGGTTTTGGGTTGGAATTGGATGATCGAAATTCAATAATATCCATAATAGGAACGCATGTTCGGTAATTCATAATCTTTTGGAGTTTTTATTTTGTGTGCTTTATAATTAGCGTGTTTTTACCCCCCCCCCTTTTTCCCCCGGGGGGGAAAAAGGACGGAAAAGGGTTTTGTATTCTGTACCAACAAAGAGTTGTTACTTGTTTGTACTTCGTAGTTTCCTCCATGTATCTAATTATCTGTGGCAATAATGCATCTCGCTAAAAAATGTAACTTTCTATGTTCCTGAATTAATTAAAGCAAATAAGAGTTTACACCACTTTTCTTATCTTTTTTTAATTCTAGTAATATGAAGTATTTTAGAAATCAAGTCACTTGATTTATATTTTTGTATTTTACGTTAATTAGGGAACTAAATATTTAACTTATCAGATAATAATGATAACTTCTTTCTTTTTTCTGGGGGGTCCAATGACACGATAGAACCGAACTGGACTCCCAGCGGAAAAAGTAGGAAATAGAGAAGGAAGGAGAGGAGAGGACGATCATTGGGGCTGCCATTTTTTGAAACCAGTTTGGGTACTTGTCACTTTGGTAAGAATTATAAACTCACCAGATTTAAATCGTTTATATCTTATTTGAATGGTTTAGATTTTATTTTTTTATTTTTATTTATTTAAAATAATTATTTTAATATGTATAAAATCTAAAATAGAGAGAATATCTTAACTATCATTCTACCAAAAAATAGTTTCTTCTATTTAAAAATAATTAATTAAAAAATTTAAATTTAAACCATTTAAATTAAATATAGACAGTTCAAATCTGATTCATAAAAATGATGAGTACTGAAACTAGTTCTATCGTCCCTTTTAAGGGACCTGCGCACCCCGTCTTGTTGTCCACGTCATATTTTGACAACCGCTGTGTTTGTGCCACGAGTGCATCGGGCTGGTCCTCTATCGGTCTTTTCTTGTTTTTCATCCACAATGAAGTCTTATCTCGCATTGGATTCCGTTTCGCTTCTCTCTTCATTTTTCAAGTCTGGCTCCCTCCAAACCCCAGGGCGCAGCCTTTATTAAGGCTGAGTCAGCATAAGAGAGTGCCATGTGGGCATCACCAAGCCACCTCAGCACGTTGATCGAGGATGAAGCGGCAGGCATTTACATTAAACTTCCGGCCAGCTCTGGTCCTGAAGGGAGTTAATTGGTGGGCAAATAAGAAAGTTAGTTGGAAGCCAGGAGAGATCGGGGGTCAAAATCCAAAGCCATTTGGGTCGTGGCCGTTGTGGCTTTTCCGGCTATTAAGAAACGAAAACGCTTTTATTTTTAAGGCTCAAAATCCAAACCTGTTTGTGGTCATTAATTCAGCTAGCTAGCTCTCGGCTGGCTGAGTTCTAGGTCCCTAATGAAAATGCCCATATTGTAACTCAGCGGGACGAGTAGAATGCGGCATAAACCTGAAGGTGGTGGGATGCAAAGAAACCGTGATGGCTATTTTGACTGTTAAGTTTCCAGGCAAGTCTTTTGATGCGGGTGAACAATCAAGCTGGCCTCGCAAGCTAATAAGAATTGATTCAAAATTTATTACTGATGTGGGAGTCTTACTGATAAATAATTTGTAAGTATTCTGTAAGGAAAAGACCTCCAAATCTAACTCAACTGGAAAAAATTTGGCGTCGCGGTACAAATCAGTAATAAAAAATGTTTACCCATAGCTCGGCCCCCAGTCCCCTGGTGGATTGATTAGGTGTGGCCCAACATTGCTAATAGGGCAGGTTTGATACGATCTGCAGACTACAAAAATGGTTGGGAATACTTCTCATGTGGGGTTTTGATCGGGCTTCCAGTTAAAGATGTCAGCGTTTGGCGATTCCATTCACGCACAAAGGCTTAATGGTACTGGAGATAGAACCAGAGATAATCTGGAACGGATCAAGGGGGGCTTGAATCGGGGGATTCTTCGAGTTGGCCAACCTTAGCTTTTGACATCATTCATAATTTGGCTTCTCAGCTTGGTTTTCCTTGAAACATAACAGCAACATGTGCATCAATTATGTCACTGAATTCAGGCATCTAATCATGACAAGATAATCTGCTCAAACATCAATTCAAGTTCTCACTTCCCAACTTGTATATTAATTTATAAATTAATTAGTGATCTCGTTCTTTTTTCTTCTGTTTTTTTGGTTCTTTGGGATGAAAAGTCCCTGTCCCTTCTGTGATTATGTGTGTGAAGTGTGAACTATGAATGCTGTTTTTCCCATGAGAAAAGTTGATTGCGGCTCTGTAGATCTCAACAACACTCATTCCACCAAAAGGACTGAATGAAAAATTCTTTATGGTCACCGCAGACGAAAACAAGACGTACTTCTGATTTTTTAATTAACAAAAAAAAAGTTATTTGAGGGGTTTTTTTCCCCCTCTTTAATCTCGTTTAGTTACAATTCAATTCAATTGTTTAATGGTACTTTAAACCATATTTTCGCTTCTCATATTTGTTTCGTTTTAATTTAATTCGTTAATTTTTTATATATATTTTAACTTTTGTTCCTCAGTTTATATTGTTCTCTATATTTTGATCATATTATCAAATAAAAAATTAAGCGGAAATTGTGCTGCTCAGCACAACCCAAAAACACACATTTTAACATTATTAAGAAGGGTTAATAACAACTTTAATCTTTTAAGTTTGTCCTTATTTTAGTTTCAATTAAATTATAAGTTTTAGTCCCTCCAGTTTTTTTAATTAAAAATATTAGTCCTTATAATTTAATAAAAATTTAGACTATTTTATCTCTTAAGAAAACAAAACCTATAATTTAAAATTAAAGAGATCAAAATCAAAATAAAAACAAATTTAAAAGATAAAAAATTATATTAAACCCGTTAAGAATATTAAAAAGATTTTAGCTTTGGATAAAAGTGGAACTGGATAAAGCTCACTAACCATTCCGATACATGAGGTCTCTTTAACCTGAGGCTTAAGTTTTCGAATCCGACATGAGGATCAGGATTCCCACAAACCCCCGATAGCATAAATAGGAAAAATTCCTTCGACCCGCATGCACTAAGTTCCATTGTTTTCTTACCCCGGTTAACACTGCTGATTGACGGAAAACAAATCCCCTATGCTGTTTGTTCTTCTTCGTCGTCTTGCTTCACAAATGACAATCATTTTTCTTCTAGTTAAAAGAAGCAATAACAAAAGAGACATGATACTAGTAATTACTTGGGCATTTCTGCGGATGCTATATCAACAATACTGTAACTTCCTCTTCCCAAAATCTGATTGCAGGCACAGAAATTTCCAACCAATACTTTACAACTTGCCAATGCCTCTTCTGGTAAACTCAAAATTCAATAATCAACCGAGATAAGCTACTAAAATTTTGATGTACATTATACCAAAGGGGAAAAAATGTATTTACAGTATACCCCCATATGGTATTCTTGCAGTCCTGCATGATGTGAAGAGTCAGCAGACTAAAATCATTTGAGACAGTAATGCAAAATTTGGAAGCAGGGAAAGGCACTTAACAAAACGAAGAGCTCACACAGATTCAGTCAAAGATGCAACTCAGGCACTTTCGTTTTACCTAACTTATCTGCTTCAAGCGCGCATGCAAATATGAGTCATAACGGGTGAAAAAGAGAGCAAAACAGGAAAGATGCTGCTGCAAGAGAGGCAATGTAAGCCATAATCTGCATTTGATTCAGACCTGTTGATGAAGAAACCCCTGAGTGCTTCAAGTACATCATGGTCTTGTTTACAAGAGGAAGTGTTGCCCCATCTTTTCGTGCTCCCAGCACCTTTTGGCTGCTCAACATCAACCCAGTAGAAGATAAATGTTCATGTTATTAGATAGTAATAAGAAGTGCCCAAGGACATATGCTATAGAAGCATGAAAATCATACCATTTACGCATTATACAACATAGATGTCTACGTTCATTATAAGCAAGAACAAAAGGAAAATTCAAACTCTACAAGGGAAGGAGTTTTAAAACTGAGTTAGAAGAGGCACACGTATGTGATAATTCAAGGAGACGTGCTCATGTTTTAGTTGGTCAACAGTTCACTAGTACATGGAAAGAGAATTTTGTGTGAGTGAGTCTGTGAGTGAGTGTAAACAATGTCTTGCTATTGAACAATCTAGGTTTAAACATCACCGGGCCAAACAGGGAGTGGGTTTCATAATGTAAAAAATTTTCTCTACAAAGTTTTGAACTTACAACCCTGTCTAAGAGGTACAAGTCTTTCCCACTTGAGCTAACTATCATTAATATGATGAGGTCAAAAAAGAGGGGAAAAAATAAAAAACTATCCTTAATGTGATAGAAGCCCTTGGAAAAGCTGGCTAAAATACATACTTTACACTAATCTGGGAATCCTCATCTGGTGTAATTTGAAAGATTTCGATTAAATTTTGTGAGGTTTAGCTTGATTTTATTATGCTTATGAACGACTTCTATTCTTATTCTTTGTAAAGTGAGAACTTGAGATTCCATTTGGAATATATCCATTCACAAGCAACAGTTTATTTTACTCCTCAAGCCAACCACTCAACTGCACAAAACTTTGGGGCCATAGTTTACAACCTTCGGGAGTGAAACTTCTTTATACCTTGCCTAGAAATTAGAACCCTCAGCTACCCCATCTAAAACTAGAAAGTTCACATAGCTGATTCTGCTATTACAATGATGATAAGTCATATCTGAAACAAGACAATGACATGTGAAGAACAAATTCGAGCCAGAGAATATCAAGGCACGGGCTTATGAACATACCGAAAGTTTCATTATTCAGTTTATCTAGTATAGTGCCATAAAGGGCACTAATCAGGTATCCATCCCCCCCCCCTCCCTTATAAACCAATGAAACTACTGTTCAGTAAACCAAGACTGAAGAAAACATCTGACACTAGAGGCAACAAGAGCAACAGGCCAAAATGTAATTTAAGGGCAGCATAACCCCCACCTCGCATTTATGAAATCGCTTAGGGAACATTTAATTACGTTACAGACTAATTTGACTGAAGGGGGAAGCATATGTTGCTCAAGGACATGGATACCTCCGAGTTTACATGATGTGCTTGTCAATATATTACATACAAATTGAGAATTCCAATAGTTGCTTTCCATTAGATAACTATGCCAAACAAAATAATACAATTCAGATTTTAGTTTTAATTGTGTAATGGAGAGTCAGCTTCTAAAATGAAAAGGTTAATACAGACTTTTGTTCTTCAAATTTGTTTTCATTTTGATTTTGATCCCTTAACTTTCAAACTATAGGTTTTGGTCCATCAAATTTCTTTTCATTTAAAATATCGATTCCTATAATCCAATAAAAACTTAGACCATTTTGCCTATTGAGAACCAGAACGTATGATTTAAAACTTGAGAGACTAAAACAAAATGAAAGCAAATTTAAGAGAAGAAAGATTATATTAACCAAAATAAAAATAGCACAAGATACGTTTTTTAAGCTAAAGATGTGAGATGCTTTATGGCAAAGACAGAGCCTTGAAAGCCAGAAGGCATCGGGATTTGGAGGGGAATAACAAAATCAAACGAGAAATGTTTTAGCTTTGGGGCTTGTTTTTACCCAGATTAATAGAATATCGCGTCCTACCCTTGTTCAAAGTATTTTTTTTAAAAAAAAAAAACATGGCTGTCAATTTATATGCAAAACATGCTCCACGTTCCAAGGCTTTAAACCACCTATTATTTTGTAAGGCCTGAAAAACCAATTACTGTACAATCATATACGAAAGCTGGAAGTGAAAAAGAAAGCTTCAAGCAATTTAAGGGTGTCCGCACTAATCATCCATAAATTTAACTTAAAAACAGGCGGGGCCACATGGTTATGGAGTAATTGTACCTGGTGTAGGGCAAGGGGCAGAATATGATCAAGTAGTCGGCCGAAGCACACGTGTACGTGCTTGTCTTGTCATCGTAAGCGTAGCTATACGCGCGGGGACAAGCGTGCTTGAAGAATTCCGAATACACTGATGGATGACACGTGTCGGGCGTAGCGTACGCCTCACTGCAGCAATACTGCGGATCCCCAAAAGCCTCACACGCGCTTCTGCAAGCCACGCTTTTCCCTGTCCCATTCCCACTCGCCACCTTAAGATCAGCCGGGCACGCTCCGTTCAGGTCAACCAAACATCCAGTGGCGCTACATCCACCCCGTTTTCCTCCTTTCGCGACGATCAGCATCGGCAGGTTGTAGCCGTCGACCAAGCTCACGTCGTAGAAATCTAACCCGTCGGCGCCGTTGAGAGTGAACTCAGCCAGCGTGGCGGGCGGCTTAGCTCCACCGGCACACTGTACTTGACCGGAGCCGCAGTCTGCAGTGAGGCAGGAGAACTTTCCGTCAGAATCTCGACCACAAAGGGTCCGAGCCCATATCCGACCCGACCAAGATTTGGGGATGTTTATAGTCTCTGACTTGCCACTTGGAAGAGCGAATCCAGTGGTGGAAAGCTGTGGAGAAGTGGCGCCAGAGAGCAGACCCGGCCAAATCGTGTGGCGACACTTATTCACAATCTTGAAAGATGCCGGTTGCACCTCTGCAATTAACAGAAACAACACATGATAAGCCAAACGAGATTAAATAGAAAAAACAAAGTTATGAAACAAGAAGACTGAAGAAGGGATGATTTCGAAAGGCGGTGAAATTTGTGTTAATTACCCGACAGGAAAGATAGTGCAAGGAAGATGAGAATGATAAGGAAGCGAAGAAGGCGTCCCATAGAGGAAAGCAGCAGGATCATTCATCAAAACATGAGAGACGATAGCAAACAACAGAGAGAGAGAGAGGATTTGATTAGACGATGGCAAACAGCCTTACTTTTCTTGCGAAGTCCGTGCTGTATTAGTTCCTCCTTCTTGCTTTAAGAAAATATTTTTTTGGGTAAAGTTGCGATTGGGACAAAAATCTTTAATGTAAGCATTTTATGTTTTAAATCATTATTATTAATAATATTCTAATATATGTTCTCTGTATGCATCATTGAATGGAAAGCTGAACCACTGAACTATGTGCACCTTGAAATCTGTATTTTTCTTTTGTTTTTAAATTTGTTTACTTTATTCTCAAAATTTCAAAACCCCTCCATGCATTTTTAATGCAAAGAGTTGCGCTTTTTTTTTTTTTATAACAGATTTTAAAACAAAGTAAATTATAATTCTTTTAGATTATTTACCAATTAAAGTTAGTGCTAGGCTACAAGGAGCGATAATATTAGTAATTTTTATTTAATAGCAGGTGAACTTTCTAAACACTTACATTTCCATAACTGCTAACTTTCCCATCTTGCCATCATTTTTCTTAGCCATGAACATCAAAATGGTGTCAAAGTTAAATATAATAGAATGTGAGACATGTAAGTGATATTAATGTCTGGATGCTTCAGAATAAATTCATCATATGACAAAGGAAATAAAAAGAACAGGAAGGTAAGGTCAAAGTTTAAACGAGAGAGTTGCTTAGACTCGTAGAATACAGAGCCTAGTGTTGAGAACCTTAGTCTGAAACAGAGCATTTACGATAGTGATATGATACTGAAGAAGTATGCTGGCTGGGGAAGCATATCTGAACAATGCTTGTTTGTTAAGTAAATTCCCGAACTTTCTCAAAGTTTGTGTTTCCATGCGAACTTTCTCAAAGTTTGTGTTTCCATGCAATTGCCGACTTTCCCATCTTGCCGTGCCATCATTTTCCTGGGCATAAATGGTATTTTAAGTATGCGAGAAACCTTTTTCAGTCTTATCGGGAAAGCGTCAGCTTTCATCTGTCATGGAGCACCAGCATTGCAAACGAGAAGCAAAGATGCGAACGTAATAATTAGAAAAAAAATGACAATAAAGTCCTATCTAAAAAAATTAAATATATAAAAGTTTCTTAAAATTATTAGATTATTCTGAAGTCTCAAGAAATCTTATTAAAAAAAATAACACTTTTTTTCTAAATTTGTATTGATAACTGAAAAAATAGTCGTTGACAACTTCAGATGTAAGGATTAACAACTATCACGACAGGTATTGATAACTCATGTATTGTATTTTGTGATGTGTTGAGAAAATGAAAATGTATGATGCTTGCCGCGATAATTGTTAATCTTCACAGTTTAAGTTGTTAACGACTACTTTTTCTGAAGTCTTAAAAAATTTTATTAAAAGAATTGTCTTTTTTTTTTTTAAGTTTGTATTGATAATCAAAAGAACATTGGTTGATAATTTCAAGTGTGATGATTAACAACTATCATAACAGGTGTTGATAACTCATGTATTACATTTTGTGATGTGTTGAGAAAATAAAAATGTATTGTCAATACCTGTCGCGATAGTTGTTAATCCTCACAGCTTAAATTGTTGATGACTACTTTTTCAGTTGTCAGTGTAAACTTTAAAAAAAAAACAATTTGACAATTAAACAAACAAAATTTTTTTGTAACGTCAGGATAATTTGATGATTTCAATAGATTTTTTTGTATTCAATTTCGTTTGGCAGGACTTTATTATAATTTTTCCTAATATTTATGTTTGGAACTACATCAATTTCCTTAAAATCAATCCATTACACGCTTCAATTCAAATGATGCGAATCAACATTAAACTGAAATCAACCTTCGAAGAAAGCAAAATGTTGAAACTTTAACCAACACAACTATTTTCAGGCAATAAAAAAAGTTAATAACTATTGTTAAATGACTGAACTTGAGAAGAAAACATGTTTGAGGATCTGAACAATAGCAGCCTGCATTTTATCCCATCCATGTATTGCTGTGTACCTGGCGATGTCTCATGAATTAGCAGCTTTCACCCAAGTATGTGTTCCAAGTTACCCAGGAGCTTTCAGTTTCAGTATGGAAAAAATTCAATAAGCATTAGTGTCCCATCCCTAGATTTCATATTAGCCCTGAGCCATTATCAGTGTGTCTCCCGGTTCTGCAAGCCAGTTTTAGTACTCTTTACAGAGTAACGAGACTTGTCAAATCTCAACTATTCAAAATCAATTTTAATGGTATGAATTTAAAATTTTTAACTAGTAATTTTTTTAATAACAAATTATGTTTTTTAAAAAAATTTACAGTCAAGAGATTACATTTATTTTGAAATATCTACATATTAAAAGAAAAATATTCTTTTAAAAAACAAAAATACTAAATATCAAATCTTATCCATTTATATTAAATTTAAATAATTGAGATTTAATGATCATGATGCTTATCACTATAATAAACATGCAAGTGCTTATCAATGCAATATTTATTGAATTGCCCCGCCGGAGCCCCTCCGGGCCGTACTGCAGCAGATCAGAACCAGAAGCAAAAGAGGCCTACTTTTCCAGTCCCAAAAAAAAAAAAAAGAGGCCTATTTTTTTCCCGGATGAGTTGAGAACCCCTCCACCGAAAATTCTCTCCAGTTTGCCTCCACTAAAAAACCGACGTCGTTGAGTTTTAAACAAACAAATGGGGAAAATAGATTTTAGAAGGACGGCCTCATTTTTTCAGTGGAGGCAAAATGGACAGAAGCACTGCAGTGGAGACATTCCGAGCTCTTCCGGGATAAACTCCTATTAGAATGGGCACCTCTTCTAAGAATTTTTTCTGTTAGATCCAACCCCGACCTCCTTATTTTCTTGACAAAGACCCTGCTCAGTGATCATACTATTATTGTGTGGATGATCATCACATTTTTTTTTTGGTGATACTGATCATCACAGTTTTTAATCTGACGACATTATGGCGAGTCAAAGTCAATTGTATTTTCTTGACAAAGAGCTGGGCCTCTAAACGTATCAGACGAGTCGGGATTCTTGTTACTAATGTGGGCCTCTCGCCCCAGTTAGATTGGGCAAGGGAATGAATGACTGTGTACGAGTCTTCCCCCATTTTTCTTCTTCTGGAAAGGCCGGCTCATTATTTAATGTTGGGCTCAATTCCAATACCCAAAAAAATTAATACTTCATGAGCCTTACAATATGTTTGGCCCAAAAAAGACTCACATTTTCAGTACCAAAACCAAGGGGGAAAAAAATACCATACCTTGGAGTTCATGCTTGGTAACTCCACGTACTACACCAACTAGTGTTGGTCTAAGTGAAAGAGATTCGGACATATTAAACATTATGTCCTGCATCTTGAAAGATTAATTTCTTATCATTGGGTGGAAAGATACTCTAGGCAAAAAAAAAAAAAAAACTCCACATACTACACATCTAGTAAATAATTTAATGGTAAATGTTCAATTCTTTCGTGATAAAATAAAATTGATAACTTCAATAACGGCGGTCGACCAAAATATAGACGATGTCAACAATATATTTGCACAATTAAGAACACGAGTTTTAAGAATTTTAGCACTTGTCTTAGACATGAGGATCATACAGTCATCATGCACGTATGTAAGACTCGTTTGTTGACTCTGGATTTTTCAAAATCACGCGGCTCCTTTCGTGTCAGAAAGCTTCGATTATAATGCATAAGCAGGCATTGAAAGGATTCATAATTTATGTTGCAAAGATAGAAAGCGTAATTCCTATTTTCGAGTGATTATATATATAGGGGAAGACCCCAGCATGCAATAGTAAGAATAATAGCGTGTTCCACTATGTTATAAAATATCTTAAAATCAATTGTTGACTGCCATTGATATATATCGCACTATGGTTGACTACCCCTTTAATCAAACAGCATTCTTAGTGCAATTAATCATTCACCTCATGAAATTTGAATCACAAGTCAATGCAGGTGTCTTTGCTCTCTCTCCCCCTCCCTACCCAAAGTGATATACCTTTCATTTTTATGATCATCAAACACTGTGACCCACAACATATTGCACACCAAGCAAAGTAGATACATGTGTGGATCATGTCATAAAAGAACCACTTCAAACCAAATGTGGAGTTCGATCAATCATTGCTTTGTTCCATTCTCATGTAACACGACACATTTAGGGTCTGTTTTGATTAACGATTGGAAAAGTAGCTTATTGAAAAAGTAACTTATGAGACAAGTGAAGTTGGGTAAAAGCTAAATTGGATAAGCTGAATTGTGTTTGGATTGGAGTTCAGAAAAGCTAGTTTGCAAAATGAAATTCGATAAAAGGTTGTTTAGATTATGATTGAGTAAAAGTAAATTTAGTTGTAAAATGACTAAAATGGGTATGAGTTTTAATAAATAATAAAACATGATAAAAAGAAATTATTTCACATAATACAATGATATTAAAATAACTTAATATGAAGAAGTCAAATTTAATGAGTAAATTAAATTTTAAAACTTTAGAGAAATCATAAAAGATATTTTAAATATAAAGTAAAACATGAAAAAAATAAAAGTATATTTCTAGGAGCATATTTAAAAACAAAAGTATATTTCTAGCTTATTTATTACTTTCAACTAATTTTAACTGATTTTTTTTATCTACAAATTAGTTATTTGAGGCTTATAATAAGAACCAAAAGAGATAATAAATTTTTTAACTTTTTATCTCTATATGTTTTAAAAGCTAAATTATAAGCTATAAGTTATAAGCTGTTAATTTTAGCTTACAGCTTATTGTAACTTTTCATACAAAAGCCCAATTGCAGAAAAGCCCATCCAAACAGCATCATTGTGTCAATCGGGCTTATAGTACTTATAAGCTTAAAATAAGTGATGCCAAACAGGCATTTAGTGTGTACAGCTTAAAATCTCCCAAGTATTCTTATTGAGCTTCATTAATTTCGCAGGATTGTATCTCCTTAACGGCACGTTTATAGTGTTACTGATGGTTCATTAGTTAAAAGTATGATTATGATATGATCATGTTCTGCTCAAAGGGATTCATATAGCTAGCCCAGAATATT